TGGGCTGTTTTCTCCTGGCCCATAGGGTTGCAAATCTTAAGCAGGGAAATGCTGACATCCAGTGCTCAGATACTATGTAAAGCATATGCATCCTCCTAGTGCTTTTTGTTTGTTCTAGTGCACAGACACGGCCAGCGTCTGCTGCACAGATGCACCAGGGCACAGATGTATTATGTTGCAGCAATGCACTGAGGACGTCCAAGGTAAACTAAGGAAGAATTTACATCTCACTTTCAGATTTTCCTCTACGACTGAACAGCAACAAACAAACAAACAAAAAAAAGCAGACAACTTTGGAAACAATATCTCAGCCTGCAATTATGATGTCTTCTCTTTTTTTCCTGCTTGCCAGACTAAGCGTATTTGGGATCAGCCTGTACGGAATTCTATTTCTATTGATGAAAGAAAGGTAGAAGCAGCACAGCTTATTATTATTATTATTATTATTAGCTGTTCCTGAAAGGATTACATCTGCAAGAACACTTTTCTAGCTACCTGAAACATTGTTCTGATAGAAAACGAGCAGATGAGTCTGCATGCCCCCCCTCCCGTGAGTTATTTCTTCTTCCCCCAAAGAGCATCTCAACACCATACCCCAATCAAGATGCTACAGAAGAATACGAAAAAAAAATAGGAATCAAAAGGCAGAATAAGAATATTATTTTTTCAATTAAACTTTCTTTTGAGTGAAGAGTGAAAACAAAGACGTGGACATGTACATTCAGGCACACAGGTCTGCCTCACAGACCTCACCCACTGTGACAGCAATCCACCAACATCTCTGTATTGCTGTGACCATTTCTCAAACTCTGCCAAGCTTTTCTTTCAAGTGAGGATGTACTCAGAACTTTTTTCTAAGATAAACCAGGTCTTGTATAATCTTTTAGCCAATGGGATCTGAAGAACAGCTGTCCTGTCTTGAAGATAAGTTTGCACAATTATTACTGTTATTATCATCATTTTGAAAACAGGAAATAAGAAAGTAGGATCTTCACCACTACTGTTACTAAGAAATGTGTGAGATGGGAAAGAATAAGCATCCTGGTTATAACATTCTGTAAGTAAAACCTGAGACTAATTTATAAAACTCTCAGCAGGAACAATTTAATTCAAGGAGCAAGGAAATGACAAAATCCTTTGAAATACAGTGTGGACCCCAGGTTAACAGAATTTCCCATTCTTTTTGCTCAGACACCATTATCCCTTGATGCCAAAATCTTTCTGGAGCAGTAAGTTACAGATCAACCACTGAAGTGGTTGCAAGTTTAGTTTCTAAGCTAAGGTGCAAGTAAATCTCCAAATGTGGAAATGTAACTGTCATCTTAAACAGCACCTATACTCATAATAAAGCACAGACTCATAATAAAGTATTAAGTACAAACCCTGTTTTTTTTTCCCCAGCATTTATCTTTACAGATAAGACCAGCTCTCAGTGATGTACTCTGCTACAGACTGTGCAACTCAGGACAACTGGGAGTACAGAATGGAGAAAAGTTCAGAAATGCTTTTCTGACATACAACTAATTTTATATTAAATGAAAAAAAAAACCAAAAAAAAACGAAAGATGTAGTTTATAAGTAAAAAATCAGAACCTCCATCATTTTTTGAAACGTTCAGTGTTACTGGGGCCTGAATGGACACTTGTTCAGCAGGTCATGCTCAACAGACCAATCTTTTGGCTGCAATCAGTGATACCTTCTCTAGCTGCATTTGCCTGAGCAGTTTGCCTTCCATCCTTGGCATGCACTCTCACTGCACTGCAAGTGCCAGAATCTCAGTGTTCTGCCTCAGTACTTGTTGCTTCTCTCCTGTCCCCAGATGCTGTGATGTTGCTGCAATGATATGATCTGGTCCTGCAGATCACCCCCTAGCTTCCACCAGAAACTCGAGGGGTCCATTTGGTGCAGCCAAGGCTTATTCACACCATTTGCTCAGCTCAGATGCCAGTAACATAGACAAATGTACACATTTTCACCCTATCATTTTAAGAAAGTTTAAGTATTACTTTTTGGTGTTCCCAAGCAATCTTAAGCCACCTTACTGTTTGTGATTTCCACAAAATACACAAATGTATTCAAAATAACAATTATTGCCTAAAAAAGCAGCCTGGTGAAGCTGCTGAAACACATTACCTTGCACTCAACAGTTACTTAAGGATAGTGAGAGCACCAATTAGTACGGCCTGCGGCCACTCAGCCTCAATGCTTCAGTGCACCAAGAATGAATGCGCTCCTGAAAAAATGATCATTTCGAACATATACTAATGTACAATCATCCATTAACATGTAAACATTACAGCAGTGGCACAGAAAATTGAGCTTTAAGCATTCAAGACAACTCAGCTATGTGTAACTACGCTGCTTTTGCCTGCCTGCAATGCCATCACACGTCATTTGGCACACACAAAGAACCTGTAGCCAGAACGGCCTTAAACAAAAGTTTAAGTATAGTTAATTATTTTTTAATGAATATTTCTCTCACCCTAATGAATTCCGTAGAACAGAAACACTCACCTAAACCCACACACACAAACCAGACCGAACAACCTTGCGTGCTCTGCCGTAGTTACCTTTCTCATTTTCAAAGGTATTTCCAACAGAAAAATGTATTTGGGTACAACACTGGAATTCGTGTCATCGTGACCAAGGGATTACAGTGCAAAGCAGCTCTGTGGTCCTGGTCCCCATGGAAACTGGATTCAGATGCTGTCCATTGCTCACTGCAGCGCCCAGCTCAGAGCCTTTGTGCTTGATGAGATTTCTTCCCCAACCTTCCAGCAACAGACCTCACCGCTTCCTCCTGACTCTTTCCTAATTGAGATGCAAATTAATCTCTGTGGCTGATTACACTTCCCTTAAAGCCTCTGACAAGGGCAGCTGGAACCAGAGTTTGCGGACTTCCCTACAAGTGACTTCAGCTGTCACTACTGACAGGATGCTGCCAGACCCAGCAGCACGCGACCCCACAAAAGTTATGTCTCAAGTGCTGCCAAACATCACCCTTACCTCTGCTAGGATTATTGCTTCTTATTTCTCCCTTCCGTACTATTTTTTGCGAGTTATTTCACCTTTGAGTTATTTTCCTTCACAGTACGACAAAGTCGCTGAACACTTTTAGTTGCTTTTTACATTTCTGGGGCTGCTTTTCTCATTTCTGCAAGTTACAGCTAGCAAAGCAACATCAGGGAGCAAAACTCATTCACTGAGCTTGCACACTCTGGGAGCTACAAAGCACTGTTAGTGCATTGCACAGATTCAAACACCTCCTTTATGGCACGTACAAATTTACATTATACCTTCTGGCTCACAAAAATATTTAGTGTATCTTTGTTCTCATAGGGAACAACTACTATTGAGCTTTTCAGTAATTAAAGTTGTGGATGCGGTTTTTCTCCTGCTCCAGTGCCATCCTGATGGGACCTTCCCACTATAATATCTTTGTCCTGTTTCAGAAATCCCTCAGTTCTCTTTCATCCATCAAATAGAGATGTAGCAGTCAATCCACTACAGATGTCATTGGTACAAAAGCAGACACAAAAAAGGAAAACAAGAATCTGGGGACAGATATGGTTTCAGATAGACCTCCTCAAACATATGCTGTGAAGTGGCATGTGCTGTCACGTTCGTGCTGCTCGTGTTTCACTGCAGACAATGAAGGGCCCAGAAGGGGACCCTGCAGGAAAGTGGGAGCACAGCAAACTGATGACAAAACACTGAAAAGTCAAAAGACGAGCGGGATGCAGGAACCAGAGGTTGGTGGTGGGATTACTCAAACAAGTATCTCTTCATTCTAGTGAGTGCAGTTTCTTATGTTACTTTTACCATGGTATCTCATTATTACAAATTACCTATATAAGCAGATGGATTAGGCTGGATTCTGCATAGAAGAACTTCAGTCATTAGCTAGAATTCTCTCATTAAAGAGAAGTGGAAAACCTGGCAAGTTTTGAGTCATCTGTTAAGTGCTGCCACGACTTTGCAACTGATGTACTGAATTCAAATGCTTATGCAACAACCACCAACTGGCTTTGCTTTACACACGAAATGGGTAAATAATGGAGTTAATCAGAATGAGTTTATTTAACTACAGTGCTACTTTTAATTTCCTGCAGCACGTATGGGATAAAACTCAGCATTTTTTTTAACAAAGAATATTTGGAAAATATTGTGTTTTTAAAATGTGCATCTCAAAGTAATTAATCAATACTGTTTCAAAGATCAAAGCACTTCCAAACTCTTTCTCAAACTCCTACTAGTAGAAACATTCTCAAATAAAACCTTCCCCAAAGAAAACTAAGTGAAGTTGAGTGCTGTTACTGATGTAACTAATATGATTAACAAAACGAGCTATAAAACATTTCTAGCATAGCTATGGCATTATGACAAAATCCTAAAAACAGTGAAACCAGTTAGTCTGCATATCATATAAGAATAATCCACTTAGTATGTGTATCATGTAAGAATAAAAGTTTATCTTACAATCTGGAGAAGAGATACCATCTAACTATCTTCCAGCAACTGTAAGAAAACACATTCTGAAAATCCCCAATTACAGAAAGTGTTTGATTAAAAATGGAATTAGGGAACCGAAATATCTGTCTCAGAAGCCAAATCCCATCTGTCTTACTAATGTAACAGGGCCAACCAAACTGGACTGCCTTCTTATATCAGATAAGAACACAACTGATATCTGTGTATTAGCTTAATGTACACTGTAGATAACTTTTATTACCATGAAAGAAAATGGAATGTTATCACTACTTACTGTTCAAAGCATCAGTAAGTCCAAATCCACTTGTTTGCCTGCTGCTGAGAACATTCTTGTGATCTTATTTTTTTTTTAAGCAGCAGGGTGCGAATGACTCTTAAAATTGAGCTTGACACGCAGAAAGCTCTGACCTTTTCCAGTAAGTATTTTCACTAATGCTTACCTCCTAGCAGCAGAATAGTCAGAAGAACCCTACCAAGGGAAACTTTACATCATCAATAGGAAAGGATACAAGCTCTGGTAGAGAGGGATAAGCGATTTGACGGCTCTGCTGGCATTGATGCACGTGGCACAAATGAGGCTTGGCAGCAGCTTTGCAGTCACGATGGCTCCATCAAAGAGAGGACCAAAAAATGGCACCTGCAGACCCCAAAATAAAAACAGCACATGTGAAATTGAGCCAAGGGAAGCTAAAGGAAGCACAGGAGCAAGTTCCAAAATGACAAACAGAAACAGTAAACAATATGCCTGATTCCCATGGGATTTTCACAGCAAGGCACCTGCCGCTTGATGAAGGTGAGAGGGAGGCAAGAAGAGGAAGACTTCACCCTGAACAGCTCGAGGCACTTCAGATATTCAGCTACATTACCAGCAATAGTTTGCACAGTCTCCTCTGTAAATCACAGACAGAAAGAGGCTCTGAGTCAGCGTGGCAGGTTGGGTGCCACACTTGGTAGCACATGTTGCATCTTGCATTATATAAATACAGATTATTGACGTTTGGAAAAATAAGCATCAGCCCCACAATAAAAGTCTACTAAAGTATTTTGCCAGGAAACACTATAAGCACACTGTTTTACATACTGACATTTGTAGTATGATACTTATCTCCTACTTTTTAAAGTTTTTAATCTTTTGTAATTATGGCCAGTATGCTTGATGTGTATTTGTACACTTCACAGTATATTCAACATGAACTTATTATATACATTAGCAAAATTTGCCTATGAATTGGAAGTTAATGCTCCATTTGGAGCAGATACTCAGCGAGGTTTTCTGCCTTGCATCTCAGCAGGATGTTGATTCACTGACTGAATCCTCCACTGGCAGAAGCTTTTGCTTCAGATAATATTCCATAAGCTCCTTCCATGGACTTTTCTAAGAGAAAAAAGTTGAGCTGATCCAAGATCAGGAAATGCAAGAAGATAGCATGTCTTTGAGGCAGTGCCCCATAGGTACAGTGGGCAGAGGCAGTGTCAAGATGTGAGAGCTGTGTTACTGCAGGGTTACCTCCAGGGGAGCCCACCACTTCTCGTCATTTGGTGGCATATGGCTTTTCAGACAAAGGCAACATTAGGAAAAAGAGAAAAAAGGCCCAAACACTTTATAAAAGTGAAAAACGCCTGCAATTAGGTAGGTATAACATGCTTTGCCATGTCAAGAACAGAGAAAAACATAATGATTAGCTGTGTAGGAAATTTCATTATTGACAAGTAGTCAAACTCACTTCCCTATCACAAACTCAAAATGAAAAAAAAATCTAAGCAGAAGCTAGCAGCAATTACCAATACTTAAGCTATGGATTTTTTCCATCTGTACAGAGGCTTATCACATAAATAAATACTCTCCATTATTCTTCTGCAACTGCTCGTGGGTGACTGTGACAGTCATTCAATAAATGGACAAAGAGAATAATATAAATCCCCTGCATCTAGGGAATTCCTCTAATTAGAAGTGGCAATGAATTACAGAAGAAATTTGGATTTAATATAACATCTGCAAATGACAGCTGTCTTCTCACAGTTATTTTGTCATTCCTTTACTTAAAATATTGCCTCCTCCTACCTCCAAAAAAAAAAAAAAAAAAAAAGATTAATGAAAAATCTTTGCATTGCGTTTTGCTTTATTTCATCATGCTACCATTACTAATTAATTGGCCAGCTGGAAAGAAAGGTGACAGGAAGAAAATCTTTGCCATGGAAGTGATAATGTTCCACAGCACCAAGTTTCTCCAGCTTATGCAGTAACATTTTAACACAGTCTACCTTTCAAGTATTGACAGAAGGAGATAAAACGTAAATCTCCATTTTTATGTGAGTATGAACAAGCAAGTGAAGTACATATTAGTACCAAAACTATATGCACACGTGAATGCTGGATGTTTTAAGTCGGATTAGCAATGTTACATATGCTACAATACAGAGGAATTGATTCTCATTTTGACTGTAAGCAATTTTTGCTTGCTGGACTTATTTACAGTATTTCAGAAACACCTGGAGCCTAGGCAGTGCAGCTAATTGTCTTAACACAGGATTACTGAATTTATACACTAAAAATACACATGAAGTGTGTTCATTTTGTACATCATGTATATGTGTGTGTGTAAACACTTAACTATGCTCATATTTCTAAAAGTCTTTCACTGAGCAATTTCTCCAGCATTTTTTTTTTCCGAAAAAATGATCCCCAATGTGTCAGAATTCTTGAAACAAAAAGTTCAGCAGTTGATGTCTCCAAGTTAAATAGACACACTCCAATAAACCACACTTTTCTCTACTACAAACCCCCTGCTGAACCTTGCAGGTTGCTCTGCCTGCCTGTGGGGCACATGGGCAGAGAAGCCCTGCTTGGCCTGGTTGGCCCCCAGCCACAGCACTGCCACCAGAAGAGCAATAAAAATGGGAGCACACTACAGCTGTGAACTCCACTACCTGGCTAATTGCATGTGATTATTTAAAAGAAATAAAAATTGGGGAAATGAAGAAACACACTTTCTTTTCTAAGAAGCAGGCCAGATTACTTGAAGAACTGAGACCCAAGCACATTCCCTGTCAAGAATTCTCCACGAAGCAGAGTTGGTGTAGGCTTTCTGATGGGAAAAGAGAGCAACAATGCGGATGATGGAAGCAACTTTTTATTGAGTGTGAATGATTGCCAAAGCAAGACGAGATGTAACCAGAACCAAGAGCAGGGTCATCGAAGTCAGTGGGATGCCACGGATCATCAGGCTCCATACATAGAGCCCACCGTAACGAGGGAAAGGGGACAGCTGAACTCAATGCACGGGAGCACACAGCCCACTCAGTGCTTTTCTGCAAGCCAGATTTTAACCAGATATTTGAGAAAAGAACTGTTTCAAATGGTTACAGAAAAATACATACATTAGGCTTAGGAAGGAATGAAATATTTTTAAAAAGTCAATTGAAAAATCCTTCCACTCCTAGGCTACCACAAATGTCAAAGCAAGTCATCCACGGACAAGAAATTAATATTCACCACACTGCAAACACCTGCTTCATTATAATTTCCAGGATAAAAAAAAAATTATTTTTGTTGCACAGAGTAAAAGTAGGCAAGGTTAAATAAACCTTTTGAGCACAAAGACTTCAGTTCTATAGCAAGCAGCACTAGTTAAAAGACTGGGGAATGGGTAAATTATTGTACCAAATGGCTGAGAATTAATCTCTGATGACTAGCTGCAATCTAACAAGGCATCTGTGTCCCAGGGAACCCGCAGTATGTCCCTGGCGGTATGTGCAGTGTGTAGAGTCTGCCTGGCATTCTTTGTCCTCTTTTGCAGGCAGCTTTTCGTCTCATTGTTCAGAATATCCTCATGCATCTGTGACGCGTGGAATGCATTCACACTAACAGACTTACTATTGTCTTCCCTCAGAAGCTTTGTCGAGCAAAGACTGCATCACGGTTCCTGATAATTATATTGCTTAATTAATCAAGACAAAAAAAATTTGCAAATCATTGCCCCGTTGCCAAGCAGGGAGATAAAAAATGAAAACAATACAAGCTGAAGCAATATAACAAAAGTAACAGCTATCTGATCAGAAATTCTTATATAATGAAGCTATTAATGCTAAATCGGTTAATGTTAACATTGCTCCAGGTGTCTCTACTTAGATGCAAACAAAAAGGCTAACATTATGTATATAAAAGGCCAAATGTTGCCATGGATTCTGTAACCTGATAGAGAGGACAGCCTTTTCATTTGATTAGGGAATGCAATTTAAATACCAGGGACCGAAGCCAAACAACAGACATTTCTCTCTGCAAGCCTCTTTCATTCACCCTGGGGTCAGTAGCTGGTGAACAAAAGGTCAGCCACACTTGCCCTGGAAATGTCTGGATTAATTTTATTACATTGTAATGGTTTGCACTTTAAATGTAGGGATAACACTAAATTTCCAGTTACCTATTATTCTTTCTGCCCGTTGGGTATTTTTGACTAATATACAAGATGACACAGCCTTTCTCGGGTTGATTCTGAGAATTTTCAAGCATGTTCATAGAGCCAAACTCTGGATTTCCTTATGGAAGACTCAAAGTTAAAAATTCCAAGTAGTAAACTGCAGAACCCAACATCAAGTGCAAAGAAAAGAAACCCAATATTCCAGTGTATAAAAGATTTTCATGTTTGAAATGTCTACTGGCAAGCCTCTAGTTGCTAACATGTAATAGCCCTATCTAAAAAAATACTGCGTACAGCTGGTGAATATTTCACCTGATGGATGCACTTTTCCACAGCTGGTTATTTTCTTGGACAAACAGTGTCCCTCGCATAAGGAAAACAGTATTTATCACATTGGTTACTTCACAAAGTATATACTACATACACCAGCAGCTATTAGATCAGGGTTCTTTTTTATGTTTATAGACATGGACTTGCACACACTTGACGTTTTCCAAAGAAATGAAATCCACTGCTTAAAAAAATATCTTAAAATGTGGTTGCATAACAATGAATTACATGGCACACAGACTCAAATGCTTTGTTTGGTGTAAGAATATTCAATGCCCACTCTACCCCACTGACTCAGATTCTGGTTAGGCTCTTGAAAATATGTTATGTCATGCACAGTGCTATATGTACAGCAGTACATACATCTTATGAGGTGGATCAATATCAAATGTGGAATTTAAATCTTTATTGTTTTGCTACTACTGGCTCACTTTGGAAATTCATCATGATTTAAACCTCTGTGCACAATAAATTCCATGGTATCAGAACTCCGAAGTGGTTCTTTAAGCACTGAGCATAATATAATGAAATTAGTTGCATATTTCAATTGCTATTTGCATTTCTAGCTTGGAAGAAAGAAAAACAAACTCTAAAACACTGAGCTTTAACTATCAGTCAATCGTGCAGGAGATACGACAGATTCAATAAAGCATTCAAAACGTACCTCTGGTTTCTTCATTATTTCTATGAAAAACATGTGGTTCTTCATCGGATAAATAACAATTAAAACATCTCCAAAATCTGTTGGTATAATGCCCCTGCGGTAGTTCCTGTTGTGTTCAGACCAGACGATGTGAACCTCATCATTTCCCAAGTGACGAAGCTGCAACGGCAAATTGGCTCTTTATTAATCAGAGTGATAACAACAGTTTATGAGGGGTCATGGCTTACAAATTGAATTAGAATGTTCAATACTAGAAATATTTCATTACAGGAAAAAAGTTAAAATATTGTTGTTCTCCATTTGCTCATCAAGAGATCAGCTAAATAATTCGCTTCATTGAGAACACATTGTTTCCCGACGGCTTAATTAAGTAATTATCAAGCTGGCCCTTAAAATGATATGTAAATGTACATTATATACAATAATTTAAGATGGGAATCAGAGCTGCTAGAATAAAACGTTAAATACAAGAACAACAACTGTCAGTTAAAATAACGTGGCTGTGACAGAAATGCCTTGACTCTGGATGTCAAGAAACTTCCCAGCATGAACGACTATTTCTCAATTTATTGCATTAAAAAAATATTTTCTTGCTGTCTGTGTGTCCAGAGAGGGCTTTTGTTTGAAAATGTGAGCGTGATGTTTTGGACCACTCAAACTACACAAGGATGTGAAATACTGGGGAAGTTACTTTATTTGGAGCAGAGCTGCAAAAAATGCAGATAAATTTGGAATAGGACATACCCCAAATCCATCTAAAGAACTGTGTGCTTGCTTTGTGATGGGAGGAAGTGGAGCTGACCTAACAGATGGTAAGAAGTATTTGGCAATAACATACAAGCTATACACAATAGTTCCAACTGTAAGCTTTAAAGTTAAAATTTAATCCATGTGCAAAATGTCAGCCCAATTCATAAAGAGAATTTAAGTCCCACTTAAACCTTAGAAGAACACTACCTGAGTTTGGTGCCAGGGCTCTGAACAAAGCGTACTACACACCTAACCAAAAAGTCAAAGCACAGCTCTGCTTTCTGCATTGGCTCTGTGCAAGAACAAAGTTTTCATTGGTAAATCATCCGCAGAAGCCTTGTATTAGCTGATATTATGCCAAAGCACTTGTTTGCTTCAGAACCAGGTAGAGCCTTTTAATGTAAAGAATTTCAATCCCACAAGGCTGAGAGGCAAACACACCCTACTTGTAAGAGAAATGTGCACACCCATGAACCACGACAGGGATCAAAGCCACAAGTGTTGCTTACAGCTTAGTACTCTAGAGGAGTAGAATAAAGCTACACTTGACTCAGGTTCTCAGTTTGTTTTAAATGAAATAGAAGACAGTTGTATTTTATTTGAAGCTATAAATAAATGACATTTTTAATTGTTTGAAGAAAATGCAAGCAATCTGAACCTGTAAGAAATGTGGATACATTAACAATAGTAATGCTAGAGCTTCCTGCACATACAAAATTAGCCAGAACTACAGCTGCCATGGCCATCCTGAACATGTTACCTAGCTGTAAAGGAAAATTCATAAAGAAGACAGATCTGTTTTACTCCAAAAAGAAGATCTGGAAGATAAGGGTTGGTATTGCCTCGCCTCCTAGTGCTTTGGGAATTATACAAGGCACACACAGCTACCAAAACAGGAATCAAAATAAATCCAAATGCCGCTTTTTAATTCACCATTTTGCTAATAATCAAACATTTCATGCTGAAAAAATCCCCAAACACTTTAAAACTTGATCACACCGAGGAAAGCAAAGCTTGGTAAACAAGAAGTTAGCTCAATCTGTGCTTGTACGGGACAGGAAGAGATATTAATAAAATACTGGCTTTGCTGCAATCCCCATCAAATGCAGAAGAGCGCGTGTTACCGTCTTTGTTTTTAAATCACACATCCTTAACCACTGCATCTACATAAACATTAAACTGGCACCCATCAAAAATATTTGTTCTCACGAGATCATTCCGTTGATAAAAACCATTAGGATGATCCTGCTGGCAGCAGCACAGCAGCTGCTGTGTTCTGGGTGGCTCTCTCCAAGCGCAGGCTGTACGCTCGCCTCCATGTCCTCGACGCAGGGCTGCTCCAAAGGCCAAAGGGACACAGACTGGAGCAGGGGCACGCGCAGGTGGGAAAAAAAGAACCCGCTCTTTTACAGCCCACAGCAGTCAAGGAAGAAGGAATCTGTCTCAAAACCCCAACGCAATCCCCAGTGAGGAGAAGCAGCCCGATTGTTTCGGCGCGCACCCAGCCCGCCACGCGTGGCTGCGAGGGCCAGCACCGGTCGCGGCACACACCTCGGCCTGACCCCCTCTCCCCACTAATTGCATTACCCAGCCAGCTGGCTCCAGAGAGGAGTCGTCTGTTTGCCCGAAGAATTCCTGCTTGTGGGGAGGCAGGGCTGCTCCTTTCGCTAAGAAACAGTCAGGCCTGACATCCCCATTGTTTGGCCGACAGTGCGCCCATCCTAAAATCTAAGTTTTATTTGTAAATTAACCAAGAAACTTCCTGCCAGAACAGTGCTGCCTGGAGACTGATAATGTGTGCCTTTCATTCCCTTTCACTCTTACTGTATCACTGCCAATTTGTTTTTCTGCTGCTCGCCAGCCCTAGGCTATAAAAGCCTTGTAAGACATAAGTGCAATTATAGTCCTGGAGTCAAATGAATTGGACAAATCCAATAGCACAGCTCTGTCCCCACTTTGCAAACCCCTACAGCAGTTAGATTAGCTGCTAAAAATCTAATCTAGCTCCAGCTAACAAATTTCTGCAGCGAAGGAGCAAGAGTTCAGTATGGGGTTGCAAGCAGATTTCTGAATTGAAAAAGTTCTGCTATGACAATGGGGGAAGATGGAATAAATCACTTGAAAATTTTGCAGCCCATCTTTAAACTGTTAGATGCAATTTAGTTAGAACAAGATGGGGGACTGTAGGATGCTGCTACTGTGATTGATTTTCATTCTTACCACGAGAAACCCAGATAAAAAAATTTAGAAACAGTGATGTTGAACCCTAGGAGCAGCAATAGATAGCAGCTGAATTTTTGTTGTTCTGTAACTGTACAAGAAATTACTTCTTGCAGGACTGTCTTATTTGGAGTGACTTGGGGTGGTTTCTATTTTCTGTTGTTGGTGGTGTTTCTGTTTTATGTTCAGTCTTCTGAATGAACAATATATCAGCCTATACTTCATATCAAGGCACACAAAGCACAGATTACTAATGCACAAAAATAAGGGATTGAATTCATTCTCAGTGGAAGTGCACTTATCCCTGTGAATTTATAACAGAAATGAATTTATCCTCATTTTCAATAAAAATAAAGGACCAGAATAACGTATTAAGCAAAATTACTGCATCTGCTCTATTCCCTAGCCTGCAAAACTTGTGGTCTGCTGTACTACTTCCTTGGCCAGCAGGTGGTAGGACCTTCTGTTCAGCTCCAGATCTCAAGAGCCAAGCAAACTGACTGGTATTGAATTCTTTCTGTCTGTCTATAGGCAAAATAAGCAAAGAAATCACAGAAATGACAAAGATTGAGGAGATAAGAGGGAGGTTAGGTTCCAAACAGCATCCACACAATGCTATCTGATGGAAGCACAAGGAAGGCAAGAAAAAGGTTATGGTCCCCCCACTGCATCCCAAATGGGAGCACGATGACATTTTCTTCTCTCAGTAATACTGGTCTCTAACACCACACATCTCTTTTGTAGCAAAAACTAAAATGGAACAGGTACTATATGCCTTTGAGTACTTCAGTATATGGCCTCTTTGCTGCCAAGATTCACAAGTCGAATTTCAGAAACAGATATCAGAGTTTACCTTTGAGGTGGTAAGAGCTCTTAACCTGCACTATGTTTAATACTGTCCTTAGAAATGGTCTGGATACATAATCATGCTTAAAGCACTAGTTTCAAATGTGAGCTATTTAATCCATCAGCCCTACCAACAAATTAGAGATCTATCAATCCCACAGAAATTTCACAGTGCCTCTGAAATGCACATTGCTGTCCACTCTTAGCTGCATTTCAGTAAAGGTTGTTAAGAAGTCTGAGCTAATTTGTGCAGAAATGAATTCCAGTTTACCAAACAGCTACAGCAAATTAAATAAAGTTTTGTTCAAAAGAATCATGGAAGATCCCACATTAAAGAAGACCCTGAAGTCATGCAGAGCAAATCACTGCTTACAGCAGGGCCAGCTCCCAGGTTCCACTGGGTTGCCCAAAGCTTTGTCCTGCCTTACAGGAATAGAGTTGGATCCCAGCAGGATTTCTATTCCTACAACACATTTAAGGTCTCATTAAGCTTTAGAGCAACTACTTCAAGGTGTATTTTTTGGATAATGTGTACTGGAGCTGGCCTTGTTTCCTAACAGTTCAAGACTTGAAGACGGGAAAATACTAAATGCTTTCACTTTTTGTTTCTCATGAAGAAGAAACTCTCTTAGAGTAAATTTAGGGATGACAACTAAATAGAATGACCAGACTATCTCCATGGCTCTGTGGTTAGTTACTAATGTGAACAGAAATTAGAGGAATTAGTAAACCAGACTATTTTCCAGTAAAACCCATTTTTTTCCCCTGGGCTCGAATGCGCTTCTTCCTTCTCCAGGTGATACATTACTCACCAGCTAGACTAGATATTTCACTGTCTAAGCTAGGTATCCATCACATCCAGAAGATACGACTTAGAAGGGAAGATAAGTCTAAATGACACAATTAGTCCAGGAAAAAAAAAGACTGGGGAAGAGAGGGAAGCAGACCTCAAACATGAGTAAGTCTGCTGCAAAGTAATCTGTTCTCTAGAACCATGTGGGATAGGGTAAGAATAAATGGGCTTAAAGCGAAGCAAAGCAGATAATACAAAATATAGTTTCATGGTGCAAAAAGTGAGGCCTTGGAGTACGTTGCTGAAGGAAATTATAAAGCATTCCCAGCCAGGAACAGATGCAGGCAGTGAAGTACGGACAGCCCTACCATGGCTCAGTGATAGACTATTCTGCCTCTTCATGTGTACCACAGCTCTACCTCCTTATCCTGCAGCACTCTGATGACTCTGTAAATCTACTAATATGTAAATAACAAGATCCATACATGAAAATAACAACACGTAATTTTCTTGACTTTTTTTTTTAATGAGGTATGTGAAGAAAAGAAAAGCTCCATCTTTACTGGGCAAGTTTTCAGGAGTGGTAATTGGAAATTCCACTTTTTTATTTTGAGGAAAAGATCATTTCAAAACTAGCTGAAGAACAAATAAAGATCATCTGGTGGTATTTATAGCTAATTTCCAGAGCATAGCAGTATCACGTGGTATACTGGATGGCTGTAGTAGCATTAATGCACATTAACAACCTGTGTAGGACAAGGTGCCAGTCCTAATTAAAATAGCAAAGATTTGCTATGCACCTAAAATCTTTGACTAAGCAGCAGTTGGCAAGCACCATAATCTCAAATCAGTCATTAGGAAAGAGAAACCATTAAGTACTGATACCAATGAAATTTTGGGCTGGTTTCTAGCCATCTCTGAAGCAGAGTCTGCTTGTCACAATTGTGAATAACTGGATAATGGTTTTAAATATCAGCTGGCTGCTTTTACTACTATGCATGTCACTTCTCTTTCACTTCTTTTCTTTTCTGGTACACACTAGACGGTTCATCTGTAAAGTTTTATTATGCTGCATTTGGTTGTTTTGTTCTACCACACTACAGCAGTTTTGGCAGGCAGACAACACACAAATGAAATTATTGCTAATATTATTACTAATGGTGGTATTTAAGGCTACCATGGAAATGTTAATTGTGTTGCAGAATCCAGAATTTAGATGCCATTTAATTCAGATAATCTAGCTGCAGAGAACCACGTGGCACAGAAAAGATAGCCTGCTAGGACGAGTCAGCACAATCTGCTCTGAGTGTAAACCTTCATTTAAGCACAAGGAGACTAAATCGAATGTTTTGAAATACATACACAGCAACTGACTTACCTTTTTAGTCAGTGAATCATCTGAATCTGATGGCATTCTTGTAGACACATGAAAAATGATTTCCACAGTAGAGGTAGCATAATAGGGTGCTGTCTGTCCAGTGCTGCCATTGCGCTGCAGGCCACCCATGAACCCACCATGTGTGGAGAGATCAACCTAAATGATTGACAGTCATAATTAGAAATATCTGCCTTTTTTTAAGGACTGATGAGTAACCCTACTTATTTACAAATCAACAGCTGGTGAGACTGTAACCATCCCAAAGGAAGATAAATCTTTCTGAGGTTTGTCATCTCAGCGTTAGATCTGTTGGTTTCCCATTCTTGTATCTGACATTTACTAAAGATAAACAACTCTTAACTATGTACCGAGTGATTATCTTTAAGGCTATTCTACCTTCCTATCAGCAATGGAACAACAGTAAGGGCTACATGTGGCTCAGTAAGCCCACCCAAAGCATACACAGCGAGAACTAATTAAAAAGTGCAGAGAAAACGTAAGCACTAAGGATATCTGTAGAAGAAATTGAAATTCCATACTTAAAAAACATTCTAGAAGAAATTATTCTAAAAGGTTATTCAGAGAAAATGCCCATCTGAAGACAATTCTGTGTCTAAAATATATTTTTTCCCATCTGCATCAGTCAAGTTGAGGATGCTACCTCTCCTTGTAGACTTTATTTCTCTTAAATTGTTATATGTGAAATACAGCTACCGTGTATTTCCCCTCCAAAAGCATAAATGTCAATGCCATTTAGGTTACCGACATACCATTTGACCAAAACAAACTAAACTCAAATATTTTTGCCTTTAGTGCAGCACTCCTTTGGTCAGCTAAGTGACCCAACCACGTGAAGAGCTAAAACGAGCTACAAATAAGGTAAAATTAAGCTACAGCTTTTAACAATGCAGAAAGCATTCTTAAAATGACCACTGCAGCACCACCTGCCCATCAGAAACAGGATGTGCAACAACAGTGATAATAAATTATGAAATTATATTATAAGGGATTGCACTTTGTACTTGCTAAGCATGCACAGCAAACAAGTGAGGTAGAAAAAGTGCTGTACACCCTGCTGGGGAAAGGAATAAAGAAAAGGAAGAATTCCTTCTTCAGTCACTCTGACAAAGGCTCTCAGGACTTTTGCTAGGGGACAATCTGATCACCACTGCAACCTGGTGAGAAGCTCTAGGAAAACTCGCTGAAGCATTCCAGTTCTCTTGGCTGAGCTAATGGTGGCTAGAAAAATCTGACCAAAAGGCAGAGAAAAAGCAAGGAGGGGAATAAAATAAGTAATGGTTTTGAGAGTTTAAGAGTTTGGAAATTGAGGAACATGGGAAACATTACTCATTTAAAATACTATAGTCCAGGGACACCATAGGCCTGAGGATTTAAATTCACCTTCCAAGCAGTATCTGTTATAGCAGGGAGAATGGAAAGATGTTTACTTCCAGCTTCACGTGACCATGGCACACATTAGCCTAAAAAGCATTCTCTTTGTATTCTGTAATTCAACATTCTCCTGTTTCCCCATTTCTGATAGCTAACAGAAGTCTTAAATAACCTAAAATATATCTCAGCTTGTAGAAATGATGTGAACATGCAAAACATTTGGATTTACAGAATTCTGCCAATAAAATGACCTTCAAAGTACTGCTAAATATCACTGTATATTAAAATTTACTTTTCTTTTTCGAGAATTAACAAATGAGCAGGTAGATAAGCAGTTTGTTCTCCATTTACCTACTTTAACTGGCTTACACTCGATTTTCATAGGTCTTCAAATCATGATTTTGCCTAAATTTGTGATTTTACCTCCCAACCCAGTCCAGCAACAAAATCTTCATATGCCTGGCTTCCACTGGCATTGGACAGTATTGAACATTTGTCCTCCTGTCCTTCTGCAATGTAAAACACTGCAATCTTGTGAGTTTCACGGCTGTAATTGGATAAAATGAGAGATGAGAATTATGAAAAGTGGTAGAGGTCAAATTATTCTTTATATCACCTGCACTCTAAAACCATATTTTACTCTATGCCTGTTCCTTTGATGCACACAAATACATCACTTAACTTTAGAATTATGTACGTTCACCTTTTTTTTTCTTCCCCACAACCACACTGCAGAGACACTGCTGTTCAGAGAGCAGAGCAAGGGCCTTTCTTTCTGTGCATCAGCCAAAGAATTGATGATCAAGTTCGAATTACAGGGTTAATCACTTACATCTGTGCAACCTTGCTGAAGACAGTAATATTGCACGGCTGTTAATGAGAGTAAAATCTGACCAACAGAACTTTAATTATGGAGTAATGATATATGAGAAAGAAAAAAGCATGTACTGACTTTTAGCTCCTGGGATGAGTTTTACTAGGCTGATGGTTACAACTGATCTGGTATGAAAATTATTGGAATGCAAGAAAATCAGAACTCTACAATTCTGCAAACGTGCCAAGGAATGAAAATGAAACATAATGTTCAGAACTCTATTCTACCTGGCTGTAAAAGAGTGGAATGAAGATTATCCCTTAAAGTACTGCTCTTGACAGAGGGATCAATCTGCAGAAAATTCCTTTGGGTGAGTCAATGCAAAGTCATCAAAAATTTTGCAACTTCTTCCCTCCCCTCTCAGCTGAAGAAAGCAGGAAACAGGCTGTTGTGTCTTACTGCTTGTTATTTTGAATTTTGTGTAGATAGTACCATTGAAAACAGCTTGTCCATTCAGGTGCTGCAACTCTTTAGAAAATTCTGTGTTTTCATACAAGTTTTTGTACTGCTAGCATATGCAATTTCAGTGATTGGTTTTGGTGATGTACTTACTCATTCTTTTGAAACCCTGAGCTAGTAAACATTACCTACCATTGGCGAGAATCCAGATTTTTCAGTTCTCTCAGTAATTTTGAGTTTTTCTTAAGAAGGTGGAAGCTCTTCCTGTAAATATTAAAAAATAATTAGGAAAGAAAATGCAATAAGGTACAGACTCTATTTTCTCATTCAAATTCTAAGAGAAGGGAGTCAATTTAGCATAACTTAATGAAAATTCATTTTCTTTCTACTCTAAATAATCTGCAGTTGTCTACTAAAAATATTCATGGATGCAGGTATATGTAAAAGTTCAAAACTGTGCTCTGACTACCAACCAGCTACACAATTCTTGCCTTTTTAAGTGTGCATACGTTTGAGAGTAGAAGTGAGCAAAATTTACCTTGAAAATCATCAGACTCATAATTAAGTTATAGAATTTCAGATTAACAAATCTTCCTGGGATGACTGTAAGTCACAAGAGCAGTGCTACAGCAGGGGAGGACAGTGTGTGGATCTGGATTATTTTTTGGGGGTCAGAAGCTACAAAAGCACAGTAAACGTGTCCTGAGCCCTCTGTTCCTACCTTCTATCCCAGGAGTTCATTCCCAAGTCATTTAGCAACAGCCGACAGAAATAAAAGGATGCTTGAGGTTCAGCAGGACGCGGCTCTTCCTGACGGGCCACCTTCATACTAAAGTCTGAGCTGCATTTTAAAATATACTCATTTTCCTGGGTACTTTGCCTCATCAGGGCTTCAGTGATTGCATTCTCTTGGTCGTAGCTCATACCAAAGGGTGGTGGCGATGGCTCATTCAGCTTCCGCTGGGGATGTAAAAGGCATTCAGGACTACTGTTACCAATCTTCTCCAGTAATTTGTCAAGAGCATCTTCTCCTTCTTCCACCTGAGAAATGTCTTTTTGGGAACTGAAGTAGTGCTCAGAGCTGCCTGAAATCACACATGAGTTTGCTGTGTTCTGCCGTGGAAGGCAGCCTTCCAAAGGTCCATACAATATTCTGCCATCCCAAGAGTACTTCCCTGAGATATCTCTGACAATTACCCTTACATCCGAGGGGGCTACTGCTGGCTCAGTGTCTTTCCTCTTTTCTGCAGGAATTTGGAGGTATGATATAAGAGTACTGTCATTAAACACAAAGAGCTGAAGGTTGGGGCTCCGGAAGACTTCTGATGACAGCTCAGAGGATTCCACGTATGAGTTGTCATGATTCTCACTAAGGAGACTGTGGAGGATGGCAGGACCTCCACTGAGTGGGTAGTGGCTCAAATGATTCACCAGATGAGTCATAACCATCCGTGCTGTTAAAGGTATTAGTTCTAAGTTCCTTCTCCTTTTTTCTAAAACAATCAATAGAGGTAACAGATTAGTAGAACTAACAAGAGGTAATTAAAAATAGCATCTGCAAATTTCTGACTTGTTTTAGAAGTTTGCTTTGGTTATTTTCAAAATCATTCCTTTTCAAGAAACTATTTACAACCACTGCCCAAACAATTCTACCCACCACACATCCTTACTCAACACACTCTTTGAAATTTAGCTTTCTGTGACACCCAGGTCTTCATACAATTTGTAAGAAGTACACACAGCACTGTACAGGGGGCCCACAACACTGCTATCACTGCAGTTTCACCTGGCACATTAAGGTGCTCCTCCTTACCTCCCACATTCCCACAGTCATCACCACAGCAGTCAGATCAAGAGAGGGACAGGGGAAAAGAAGCAAAAGTAATGGAGAGGTGCAACTAAAAACCAATGGTTCTACACTTGCAACAGTCATTTGAAAAGAGCATCGTGGTAAAGTTCATTGCATCAGGTAGGAGACACTCTGGATCCACAAACAGGCCCTCATCACAGGCAAATACATCACAATTATCTCAAACCAGTAGGGCTCTGGAGTTGTGTTGTGCCCCCAGTTCTTCTACTGGAGCACTGTTCCAGAGTTACATCTCACTTATACTCAGATTTTTTCTCTTTTTTATGGTAACCTTGTTCATATTCAGCTTAACTTCGTTTTTCTTCAGTTTACAGTGTTTTTTTTTTCTTTCTTTAGCATTTATACCTTCTAATATACTTCTAGGCAACAGGTATATATATCCCTTTTCAGCTTTCATTTTGCTGGCCTCCAAAAATTCTTCAGCCTCCCCCTCAGAAAAACAGGCTCCATATTCTTTCCCTGAACTCCCCAGTAGTAAATCTCTGCCTGCTCTAGTTTGAATTTTGTTTTTTAAACAATTAAACCAAAACAGTTGTAGAGCACTAACATCTCTGAGATGAGAAACATCTTGTTCTAACTAAAACAACAAACACACCTGATATGGACCCTTATCTTCCTGCTATTCACAATGCCCCACCTCAGCAAGAAATCTTTGTAAAATAGGTCTTTGTGTTTCCTTTTTTTTCTTTTAGTTAAAACTGAAAACGTGTATACAGAAAAAAAAGAAATAAAAAAGCTGAAGGACTCAAAAATAGTGAAGTATCAAAAACTGAACACTCTATTTTAAAGCAACATTTCAAAACCAACAATAGCTCGTACTACTTAACACTGTATCTTCACTTTTGATTCTTCTGCAGAAATTAACTAAAGCACATTAATACATGATAACATTTAATTCATAGTTGAACAGCCACTGCTTTGAAAAATTTTTGAAATAAAGGTGGTTTCTAAGATAAAACACTTAAACAAAAATTGCTTGATATGTTTGGATGCATACTGAAGTTGCTTTTAAGGAGTGTGTAACACGATGCAGCCAGATCCAAAAAATCTCTTTTCACTTTTGACACTGGTAGCACTGCGAGTTAGCAGGAATACTGCATTTATGCAGCTGCAGAATTTGGTTCAAATCACACATGCCATTCTGAAATCGCTCAGAACAGGTAAATCGTGGAGCCATTTCTAATAAAAGATTCAAGAAAGCTGCATGCTCCCAAAAGAAGCCTGATTTAGAGCTAATCTCAGTTGTTGACTCTGACATCCTAGCATAGACACACTGGTCCTCATCACGCTCTGTGAACTCTCCTACCTTCAGCAACAGTGAGCAGGTTGCCCAGATCGGTGGCAGAGTGGCACTGGGCTGGCTCACAGCTTGTGACATTCTCCAGATGCAAAAACGGGTCATAGTCAGCTGACGACAGATCTGCAAGGCTCAGCACGTAATGGCTTTGCTGCGTGTACGTACTGGAGCCGTTCACACAGCAGTGCAAAACCTGTGAGCAGACAAGTGTGGGATTGAAGGAGTGATGAAGAACAGTCAGAAGTACCAACTTACACTGCAAGGAGCGACCCACTGTAATTTTACATTAAGAAAGCCAGCATGTGCTACAAAAACATCCATGTCTAAATTCGGTGCTTTTACAATAACTCTCTTTTTTGCTGCTTGTTCTGTACATTAATAGTTCACTTCAGGACTTCTTCTGTATTTAATAACTTACGCATTTTAACAGGCCACTCCAAATTGTTCACATACTTCTGCTGGATACTTGCTCTGGATCACTGCTTTGAGTGTTTTGCCTTTCTCTTGTCATCATTTTCTGTGTTCCATGTCTCTACCTCAAATAAACCACTTTTCTTTACAAGATCCATCACATCGATCTTACTGTCTTAGTATTTTAAATTCTTGACTTCCCACCTGTACGATTTTGCCCACACCCTGAGAATTCATGCTTCTCTACAGCATGCTTCAAAATCCTCCTGTGCCTAAGAGGATCTGCAAAAAGCATCTTTAAAGTTTCAGGCATAATAAATCATGCTCATTCCTCATACTCACTCTGTAAATATAGTCCAGTAAAGGAGCTTTGGATGCATGCTGATCTTCAAGGACACCAGCAGACACCGGCTCCAGCAGCATTTTCATAGGTAATGCCATACACCAATCCAACAAGCAAAGTAGCAATGAAACTATAAACTAAACAGAAACACGTAGCACAGTATTTAGGTATTATCTATCAAATTCACACATGCTTAAATGCCTGCGCTTAGGAGGTTGAAATAAGACTTTGGTTCAAAGCCACTTCACTCAATGATTTGCTCAAACAGCACAAAGAAAGAACAGAGACTCCTCACTTCAGTGACATACCTTTTTATCTGCCTCCACGCAGGAGTATTCAGCACTTGGCAGAAGAAAAGCAATAGTGGCCACAAGGATCTATGTTAAAAGAAGCAGAATTTGAGAAAGATGTTTAACTTCTTTCACTATAAAGGCAGAGAAGAAACTTCATTTGAACAGGGCATGAAAAAGGTTAAAGACTCTTAGAAGCATTTAGCTGCCCTTGTAAATCAACATACGGGTGAAACAGTTTTGCTAAGCATTTTGAAAATAAAAGATGAGAAATGCATGCTGCTCTTCCAACTACAGCAAGTAAAACTCTTAACAATACTTGAAGAAGAAATAGAAAGTTAACAGACAGCTGGGGTTCCAGTAGCTCAAGTGAGGAATTAAGACAACTTTACATATGATTTCCATACAAATATCTTAAACTGACGTACTTCAGTAATTTTTCTGGGCAGGGATGATTCATACTCCTGCAGCTTCTGCCAGTAAGAAACAAGCAGCTGAAGAACATCATTGGCTACCTGAGCTACCAGTTTATTAGAAAACTGGAAGAGAAGAAAAGGTAATTAAAAGCAAAATAAATACGTAGGCATGATACAATGCTATTTGTTTTTCTACTTCTTAAATAATTCTCCATCCGTACAAACAATAAAAAAATCACACACTCAGCATTAGGAAACAGCAGACAACATTGACTACATAGTCTTAAGATTATAAAATCATATTCTCTTATTTTATATATAGGAGTCTCTTGCTGCATATTCACGTCATTTTTCTTTTTTTTAAGTTTGCATTTTTATACAGGATGTCACAATTGCCCCACTGAAGAACTGCACATTTACTTCTTAGCAACTTCAAAGGAGCAGTAAGAATCTGGACCACTCTGACCAGAGATAATAAACTACTAAGTATATGCAAAGCTTCAGAACCAGAAGGCATCTTCTAGATGATGGCCAATGTCATATTCCTTACATTATGCAAAGAGTCTCAAGTAACATCCTGACATTTCTTCAAGCAACAAAGACCAACCAGCATGCTGTGCTGCTACAATCAGTAACTGTTTCAAAACTTCAAGTACCATTTTTACAAAATGTTTATTAACTACAGAGACTGCTGCAGTGTTACCTTTAGTGTCACACCTATGACATTGATTGCTTCCTTCACTTGAGGGTGGTTTGTGCACTGTGTTAGTTCTTCACATATCCAAATTCCAAGGCCACAAATGGCTATGCATCTTTTTTGAAAGAGACAATATTTTTGTCAGAAGTTTTAAGAGAGTCCAGTTTTCCTTTACCCTTCATTCTTTCCAAATTTGCACTTTGGAATGAACCACTCCTCCATCAGACAATACCTATCACTGTACAGTAGCACTGTATAGTTACTAACAAAGAATCTTGAAGGAATTTGTCAAAGACTATTCCTCAATCAATCAGGAAAAAAAAAAATAGAAACAAATCAACTAGCCCAGCACACCTAAGATATGATTTCTTCCAATTTTAAGTACATTTAAACAGAAGAGAGCTTTGGAAGTGCAAGGCACTTTAACCACAATATATGGTATCTTTGGGAAACAAACAATTTTTCTTCAAATTACACAAAATATAAGCAGACTCTGTAAAAAGAATGAGCAAAGATGGGGGAAGCAATGTACAAAGATCTCTTTTACCTCTCTCAGGTCAAGATCTTAACAGCACAGAATGGACTTTATCTCAACAGGGCTGAAGAACTCAACAGGTCAAAACACAAGGCAGGTATCAAAAATTCAGCTGTACAAAGACTGAAAAATAGGGAGAAAGACTCTCTGATACTCCCATTTTTTACTTTACTCAGTATTTTACCTTGCAGCTTCACTTGGCTCCTCTGTAGCATTCTTCAGTAAAATATTAATGAGGTAGCACTAAAACAATACAATAAATTAGAATAAGTGACTTTTTCGTGTATCCACTTTATTTATAATTGTTTAATTTTGATGTAATTACAAACAAAATGAACTCTAAGTCTCAGGCTATTTTAAAGTACTTACACAACAAGTTTAATTTGTCAAAGGAGAATTACTTACTTACTCATTATAATTCAGGCATCCAGACCCTTGTGGATAAATCTAATCGACTCAAAATCATGCACAGGCAGCGAGATGGAAATCAGTTCATGTTCAGAGTCGACAGGTATTTACTAACTGTGAGTATTCAGCACTTCCTAATATGATAAATGGTTTCAAGCATTAAGGAAGCCATATTTTGAAAAAAATCAGTGTCTTCTCTAATACAGAAAAGAGACTTTTAAACTCTAGGCTGCTTTAACATTCTTCTGATGAGAGTCTGGGGCCTAATGAAGAAATCAAGAGTGGGAGCTGTATGTGTTAAAGGTTTTGTGTTCTCTCCATTTTTACCTTCAAAAGCCACAAAAGGGATTCAGAGATTCCTCCTTACCTTTACCTAATTTTCTGCAGTGGATTAGCAAAGTGCCTCAAGTTTATGGAGGCCAGTACAAGGTTAATTGAGCGGGTTTCACCAGCAAATGATGCTCCAGGTCGTATTTGATGGGGTCTTTGGTGGAGAGAGTGTGTATTTTTTTCTCCTTCAAGATTGTTTTTGCTAAAGTCAGTGAATTACAAAGCTTTCCATCCAGTAGGACAATTAACATCCCAGGGTATCTCACTGAAATTACTTATTGGACAAAGACAATTCATGTAAAGCTACAGGTTCTGTCTAATTGGGGAATTTACTTCACGTTTTACTATAATGCCAATGAGGCAAAAATTGTTTTCCCCTTATGCATGCCCCACATTTCTTAGAGGACAAGCTAATATACAGACATGCACTGAATGGACACTTTAAATAATACCACCACCACCATTTAATGAATTGACATTGCAGACATCTGGCTGGAAAACATAATATTTGATTATAGCCAATTCACTCTCTTTGAAAGTAAAATGTAATTTGTACTATCTAAGCTTTGTTAATCTTATGGTGCATGTTAAGCAAAGCAATGCTTATCAAGTAAGTACATACGTGTGCTGTTGTGGTTTGGAGGAGGGATTTCTTATTTAAACGAAAAGTGTGCAGTAAAAATAAAGTGATTAAATAAGAAAGATAGGTTAGGCTACACACAGATCTCCTAATAAAGCAGTTACCTTTACGTCGGCACTCCCCGCAATGATCTCACCAGCTTCTGAAATGGGCTGCAATAGTGGGATTTCTTGATAGATATTTGGAAAGCAAACAAGAGACCCAAGGATGGTATGGGCTTCTGAACGGGGAGCCTAACAAATGGAAAAGTAAATGAAAATATTTTCTTCTTTCAGCATAGACCTGGCACCACTTGTACATTTTTGGCCTGCTGAAAATATATCACACACTAAGTTTTATGCTTGCAGGATAAGTTGAGTGTTTTGGGTTTTCTTAGAACACTTTCCATGGAAAGTGGAGCTTTCATTCCTTGTTAGCACTTTAAGCTTTCTCAGTGATCAGGTTATGAGGTTGTTTTTTTTTTTTTTTTTTAAAGAGATGCCAATAAATGAACATCTGTAAGTGTTTTGAAGGACAATGTAGCAAGGCTCACTGCTTCACTTCTGCTGAAACCCGAGAGGTCTGTGTCCCTGAGCCATCCGCTCAGCAGCACAGAGCAGCACTAAAAACATGAGATCAAAACTGACAGAAAGGTCTCCTTCCAGTGCAGTTCCAATACTTTCCTGCTTTTTCCAGGATTGTCGGGTCATTACCCTTATTTTGGCCTCCGTCCTTACTTTGCTATTTTATTTGCCTTCATTAATTTAATCATTTATAAACCTATTTCTGTTAGTGTTGATACTTGGCAAAACATTCTGCATTGCCAAACAAGCTCCGTGCTTTCAATATTCAGTAAAAAACACTAATGGGATTCTGAAATCTAAGCCCTGCTTTTAGCATGCAAACATGCTGCAGCGTTGGTGAGGATATGATTTCTCACACTTTGGCCTTTTGATGAAACACCTTTGCAATACTAGCGTGTCACCCTACCCCTCACTTTCACACATCAGCTGCCATGGTATCTGCCCCAAGAGCCCCGGCTGGCATTGCACTAATGAGCCCACACCTGTTGGAGTGCAGACATCCCAAGCTCATTAGCAAGCAGGCTCCCAGGCTGGGCATTGCCATGCTCACCTCCAGCAGGTCCGTGCTCAGCACTCTGGCTGCTGCTGTGATGAAGTCTCCTATCAGCATCGTAAAGCCAGGCAAGCCCAGGAAGAAAAACCAAGGTGGGCAATGCTTTATGACAGTATTCAAGATATCCTGAAAAATGAAGAGAAATTACCTGCTTGAGAAAGAAATGCCTAAAAATAACAACCCACCAAAACCCTAAAGGAGGAGTTGGAGAAGATTTAAGTTGGTAACTGACCGTTCCCACACTCATCAAAGTGATGTTTCACTGAGCCACCCATAGTAATGATACAAGTGCTTTCAGTAGAAAAAGTGTGTTCAGTATTACTGTGACAATGAGAGTCTGAAATTCCTATTAAAACAAACACTTGCCATTTCTAAGTGTAAAACAATTGTTCTCTTGTGATACAAGGCTTTGGATTGAAGACAACCACGCTGTTAATCAATTTAAGATGGATGTTTTGCCCCATTCCAAATGAGGTGTTTTTTTTCCTAAAATCACATTACTCTGAGTTCTGTGGCCATAAAAATAATGAAATGACACAAACTGCTGTTGCCTTTTCCCAAAGGAGCTCAAAGCAGGTAGCTTACAACTGCTGGCAGCTCTAGCATGTCAGGGATTTTTCAGCCCCTCTGGGCTAAGTTGAGAAATAGTGATGTCAGATGCATGGAGCGACTGCACTCAGCACAGTAACACAGATAAACCTGTGCTAACTAGACTGTTATAATCCACTATTCTAAATAATTAAGATAGCAAGCACGGGTAAGCCTTGGGGAGGGAACATTTGATGAAAGTCTTTTTTACTTTTTACTTGGTTTTTTTTTGTTTTTTTTTTTTCTTTTTAAAGCTTGCACTTCATCTCTGACCACCAGGAACAGATCGCTCTCATAATCACCCTATGACACAGACCCAGAGTTAAGCATTTCAGCTTTAATCGTTCCCCAGGTTTCATTCAATTCTTCAGACACTTCAGACAGAGACAAGTCCCGTATTTAAGTTGAGATTTTCTTTTTAGGAGATCTGAAATCGGGCAGAAAAGCTGTATCTTCTTCACATGCTGCATTACTTAATTTATTATGTAATAATAAATTTATTTCTATACCGATTAGCAGATTATTTCTGTTCTCGATAAAATTTCAAAGAAAAACTGCAAAGGAAAAACAATTTTCTGTATCTGCCCTTACTGCTTTCATGGTGTGTCAGTGAAGATTTAAATTTTAGCCCCAGAATGTGTCCTTATGCTAAACTTCTACATAGGAAGCTAAAGAAATCAAACGGATTTTTCTGTCTGAAGATACGCTTTAGCCACAGCAGTGTTTTCTGCAAGCACTTCAACACCTGGATAAAACTCATCTATAGTTTGACTGAGTGTTTACAGCAGCAACATCCTATGAAATAATAGCGTTACATATCTAAAATGCTACCAGATAAATATCATTCGTTTTTAATGCAGCACCACATAATGCTTCCACTTTCCCGAATTAGCTAGAATGCCACTCGAGTTAATGTTTAAACTAGTTTTAATCACTTCCTTTGATACATTTTAAAGTCAATATCAGTCAACGCAAACATTCAAAAAGAGAGAGCAGATGGATGCGGCAGCTCATAAAGTGGGTGGTAAACTCCTGCTCGGAGCAGAACAAAAGACCCACCTTTTCATAATTAAGGGGCTGATTAATGCACTACGCTCCTTGCAGCACAACACACCTGTAATTACGACCAGAGCCAGGTACTGCGATGTGTTTGGTCTCTTGAATAATTGGGCATCAAACTACGGAGCGGCAGATGGGAGTACACTGCTGTTGACATATGCCACGATAAAAGAGCCCGGGCTAACCTGGCTTAAAAGGTAACAAAACGTAGGAAGTACAAAGAGCTGCTGCAAACAAGTGCGTTAACTCCTGTCCTCGCTCCATCAATCCCATCTGTTAAATACTGCTGTAACAACTGCCCTGCTTCGTCAGCTCCGGCCACTGCACTGAATGGAAATGTCAGAAAATGAGGATAAAGAAATGTCAGTCAAAGCCCCGCTTTAACACCTTCATACCTGTGAGTTCACTGCACCGCACAAAGATGGCAATTGTTTCCTTTCAAACAGGACAGAATATGTCCTGAACGTCTCGTACCTTACTTGAGCTTACTCCAAATAGAACAGATTGGAAAGATACCACACCCCAGGAAGGCATTTACTGGTAAAATCTGACAAATTTTCTTCTATTTCCCAATTAGCACGCTTTCCTGTGCAACACAGCTAACAAGAGAAGCGTGATTTCACGTAGTAATTCAGTAGCATTGCAAGCTTATCAAAAGATTCGGGTTTATGAGAAAGCAACCAAGTGAGAACATATGTCCTATCAGTGATATTGCAAAAATCAGGTAATTCAAACACAGGCAAGTTGCTTCCTTCCCTTCGAAGCGCAGTTCTATAAATGTAAACTGTGTTCAGCAGCGTACAGCCTAGTAAATGAATCACTTTAATTGAATGCTATGTACACAGTAACTGGAAAAACACAAGCAATAAGAAAAACATATGGTGATGGCAATAGAAATTGGTTTACTCATTCTGTACAGCGTTGTTTCTTTACTTCTTTCATAATTGACCTTTAGAACGATAAATGTGTAAAATAATTTCGGTTTATTATGGCTCCAAACCTTTCAGCAATTACACAAAATGAAAATTTAAAAGGAAGCATTCATTCTGGAAGCATTTCCATTGTTTACATAATTGCACAGCTATAATTTAGTGTTCATGTTGTTAAAGAAAAGTGAAAAAAAGGACCATTATAGACTATTTCAATTCAAAACGATGCTCTGTAGCGTTAAAAAAGAGGAGGAGGGAAGAGAAGGGAGCAATCACATGCATGTCCTTCTCAAATGGATTAACCCTATAAAAGGCATAGTATTTCAATATAGGCTAATCTAGTAATCCAAATAATAAGGTCATAAACATCCAGCGAGTAAGCGAAGAAAGAAAATGATGCAAGTTCACCAGAAGGTCAGTTTCAGAAATATTCTTCACCTAATTTTTGTGCAAGGTTTTGCAGATTACAGGTGTAACTAAATAGCCTGCCATCTGCCTTCCTCACGTTTCCAGCTGTCCCTCAACAGGAACAACATGGATTTTCCTCTTAAAGTTCACTCTGTTCTTCCCTGAGACACACCTCATTAGAGGCTGACATTTACAGCACAGGGAAGATTATTCATTTAAACAGGACTTAAAGTGGCAAATCCTTCATTTTCCTTTATTTTGAAGAAACAAACAATTCAATTCACTTATTCCAAGTAATGTTACATTTTAGGTGTTAACTTGTCAAAAATTAAGTTCCAACAAAAAGTTACGAAGCAACCTGACACACTCCAAAAGCACATTGCTTGTCTAAAAACCTGATCAATCTGACCACCAAAGAGGTGACATCTTGTGACTGGATGCAATAGAAAGAGAGATTAAAAACCGGAACAACTCAATTTAGAAAACAGATGACAGATTACTGTGTAAATCACCTGCTGGTAATTGTTCCTCCTCTTCTGAACAGCATTAGAAAGCTCTTTTAAAGTCACATTTAAAAAATAAAACCAGGCAGCAGCGCAGAAGTGAGCCACCTAGGGCAAGGTGCATTAAGGAGAGGAAGGTGAAGAGGTGTCTCTGTTAGCAGAAAGCATGGCTCCTCACATGGGCATTACCTGGGTCTGCCTTTCCTCTGGTCCATCCCTACAACTGTTTTGCTCCAATACCAGCAGTGCACTCTAATGGGGGTGAGCAGTGGGGTATATGCTGCATCCCACAGAAAGGGAGGGAGATTACAAGAGGGTAAAAATTATGATATCTACTGGAAGAAAGCCACAGCAAACTAAAATATGTGAATCTAAGTCTTACGACATAGAGACTATATTATGATTTATCTTTTTTTTTTTTTTTTTTTTTAAATAAAACTGCAGCCTGGAGAGAAATCTAAAATTGTTAAGGTTTCTGAAATGCTGTACAAAGGTTCTCATGTGAAACATCACAGGCAGAAATCCAGGCAAGAAGCACTTACTGCACTGTGTACAAGTGAAGCTGCTCAATTCTTGTGCCTTTGGAAGATGATGCCACACAGACAGGGCATGTTCCTGTGCACAGCACTCAGACTGCAGTCACCAGGCTGACACCACTCCTCATTACAGAGCAACAGCTTCACAGAAACACTGAAAAGTCTACAAGGACTTTTTTTCTTTTTTAACTTCAAATCAGTGTTAATATAAGCAGGTAATTCTTCTCCAGTAGCAACTCTAATATAAAATGTTTCATATTCTAAATCAGCAATCATACACAAAGCATGCTTCTTGCTGTACACGGTGTTTCTCCATATGCTCACTGTGGAAATGATGGAGCTTCCTTTCCATAATTAGCAACAGCATATATTAAACAAATTAAGAGGCTTATAGACTAGCATAAAGTACTTTACTGATAAAGTATTCTCCCTTTTACCACTGAATGGAATCGAGCTAAAAGCAGGGCTGTTAACTTCTCCATTGTCAGCTGTGCTGTGTGCTGAGGGCTCGTGCTGTTCTACAGGTTGAAAACTCACTGTCTGTGTGTTGAAATTTAATCACCAAGGACATCTGTCAGCCTATTCAGATCTGGGCTTTTCCTTCCATATTTAAGGTTAGTCCTGCACTTAATATCACTGAACAAACAAGCAAAATCTCTGAAGTATGTATTTTTAATTGTGTTCCTTAATATTTTTTTTACAAAGCAGTCTGTTCCAAAGATATGCTGGCAAGCCAATTAACCTGTAAATGTATTAAACTTAATCGTTAAAGCTCCCTCCAAAAGCCAGGGCTAGAACTATCCTGTTAGCTTGCTTTTCAGATAACAGCCTCTACCTCCACTCGCCAAAACTGTGGTGGCACATGTTGTCAACAGATTACAGCAAGCATGATAACTGATGCCAAAGCCCTGGTAGCAGAATGAGACTCTTCCCAAAAACGAAAAGCTGGCGAGATTTTGGATGATTTCCTCCTCTTCTACAGTGTAAGCACAGGTGAGCATTCAACTTTCACTGCAGCTCTTCTCCATCTGAAGATGTACATTTAGACAGAAAGAAGTCAGCAGAAAATCTACTAAGTTTTAGGAAAAAAAGATATACTGGAAGGATTGTAATTACCAAAAGTATTAGTAATTCATTAACTAGAATTCTCTCAGTGCTTCTTTTTCTGAGAAAGGGGTTCAGCAGCATAAGTAGAATTTTGGAATAGTGTTTCAGTACTTCTTCCAGGAAAAAAAAAATGGAAGCTATAAAACAAGGAGAAACCTATATACTTTTGCAAGTTCCTGAAGCCAAAAATTTCTGCTACAGTAAGTGATCAGCAGCAATAATAAAATGCATTTATTTCCTACATGCAGGCATTTGTAAAATTTGTGCACTGCAATACTAGACATTTTTATAAAGTGTATGTATGCATCATCCAACTCAAAAGACATTAATGGTTACAAGTGCTGGAGGCTTCTCAACCATTAATCTCACCCAGCAGCGTCACACACAGTTACTGCCTGAAATGCAGTAGGTTCTCCTTTGGAATCTTCTAAAATTCCCCTCCCAAGAATATTTCACAATTGTCTGCAACCTACACCAGGAACTGGGAGAACTGTAAGTACGACCTGGATGGTGTCCTGAAGCTGTGGACTGAGTGACACAGCAAAGCAATGGCTGTTGCTGGGAAAGACCTAACTGCTCCTTTTGCCACTGCTGCCTGACTGTGGAGCTACTGGAAGAAATACCACACTTCAGTCCAGCTTGCACAGGTGTGATGCTATAAAGCCCCTGAAGGCGTTTCAAGGCTGACAGACCTCAGTGATTTAAAGGGTAAAAGGGCTGGATTTAATACAAACAGTCCTGAGGCCATTTCCTGCATCCCATCTGAGCGATGCTTGATACATCATCATCTCAGGATTTTCAGTCAAGCTCTGAATGCAAGTAGAATCACTGCCTTCACTATCTTGTGAACACAGCATGTAAAAAACAAAACATCAATTCACTTTTCTCTGTCAGGAAGTGAAGGTGCAGAATTCCAGTCAACTTCATAAAAAATGATGGTAAAATTTAAGACCACTGGCTTAAGTGTATGGGAAGAGAATTATCATCACACAATCATTTGTCCCCTGATCCCAGGGCACATGGCACACTGGAAGCAGCTCCCAGTGCCAGGCTGTAAACTTGCTTCTCCCATCTGAAAAGGTGATGCAATTGCTACAGATAATTGTTCACTTCTTCCTACAGAGGTGCTGTTGTTAGCCACTTGACAATGAGATGCAGCTCAGTTACATCACTATCTCCTTTCTTACCAGCTGAGCTAATTGCTAAATCTTGAACTCAGAGTGCCATGGGATCTTTTTATAAAATATACTCTCACACTGCTCTTTCAAAGCTCCACAAGACAAGCTTGTGCAGAAAGGTTACACTTGCCATAAATAACAATGTATTAATTACTGAATGCATTCAAACATGTATTATTTTGTTTTCTACCACACCAAAAGCTAGACAAGAAAGCAGTAACTTTGTATATTCGTGTTGTTAAGGGAGGAGCCAAAATAGAATTGAGGAATGTAGGATAAAAGGAATGAAAACAGTCCACAGATTTGAGCAGAAGGTTTGCATTCTCCTCAGTCTGGGAGAAAGCTTTTCTCAGCCAGATAGCTGGATGTATCTGTGTCTACTGAAATAAATACAGGTACATTTCTGTTCAACTAGTGTCTACTCAGCAAGTCCAATTAGTGCAAGTTATTTATCTTCACCATTAACTGCACAACTGCACTTTCCTCATGTAATACAAGATTCAACTTTTTAATTTATTTTTTTATTTACAGAGAAATATATTTAAAAATGATCATTTTTGATGCTATCTAAAATACTGACAATCATATTCAGGTTACAAGGGTTTCTGACTATAACTTTACCAAGTTATGTAGCCACAAAAAAAGCTCATCTACATCAACAGAACGTGATTTCTTGGAGTTGTACGTTTCTGTTGCTTCTCCCAATGAATTGAAAGTTGTACTGGTCACATACACAGAACAAAATTCCCCCATGAGAAAATCCCCTTCTTCTTTCTCCTGTTAATGTTCCATGAAACTGAAAAGTTATGCTCATGCTTAGCAAATAAAACAATCTGACAATCTGATCGATCTTTCTTTCCACTACAAGATCTCCGATTTCCAGCAGCTTCACACAAACCAGATCAGATTTCCTACACACCTGAGAATTTTCATCTTTTAACGGCAAGATAAGAGGCTGGTGAAATGCTCTGCCTGTGTCACTGATCTACCTGTGGAAGAAGGACTATGCGTTCAGTCAGTAGGGTACGAGGTAGGATCTTGCATAAACAACTCCCTGACCCCACCAAAATAATTGAAAAGCTCATCCATGACCCATCTTAATAAATACTAGATTTACTGTGCTTCTATACAATGCACTCTTGAATTAGTATTTATTGTACACTACCCTCACTGTGCACAGCATCGAGCTAGTCTAAACACCCATCAAGCAATGTGATGCTAATAAAACTGTAAATATGGAAATAGGTATAAAGAACATGCTTTACATCAATCCATTGTATGAGAATTCAAGCTCCAAAGCATGGTGAGTGCACAGCTCCCATCAACCAGCTTCGTAGCTAGGGAAAGCAAAACTGGAAGGACAGTTACAGGAGAAAAGTCATGGTCAAGTGTGCCACCAAGAGGCAAAAGAAGCAGAGAGAGACAAGATGAAGCAGCAAGAGCATGCAAAACATCAGGAAATCCCTGGAATGATTTGTATGTGGAGTCTGCCTTCACCAGACAGTCTTCACTTCTTGATTTTAACTTCTAGACCACAAATTTGCACAAGGACTGAAATCTGACATTCAACAAAGCAACAGGCTTAAAATCAGTGGAATTGTTACTAACACCAAAACACAACACAAACAGAATGAGAAAGCAGCTCATCGGGAACCAGAACCACCACTTAAAAATTGCACAATTTCTACTTAGGAAACTTTTCCAGGATTTTTCTCCATGATCACAAAACAACAAGTAACACAGACACAGTCAAGTGAAACCAGTAACAGAAGTCAAATGACCTAATCAGTTTGCTTTCTAGAAAGACAATACTGCGAGACTGTGTAAAGAAGAATTCACATTATCCCAACTGGATGTCTTGGTTTTTGAAAGAGAGATGTTTTGGCACACATCATTATATTTGTGTTTTGCTTTCAGGAAGCACACATCAAAGAATATCGTGCCATTAATCCATTTCCGTTTTCCCTGCAGAAGCATCTGGGAATAGCAGGTGGAGAGTTTGCAGAGAATACATGGCAGATGGTTTTACTTCTGCTTTTGCAAAACAGAGACACGTGAAATTTCCAAGTGCAGGGTTGCACAGGCTAACGCAGAGAGGGATTGAGCTAGCCATGGTGAGGCACCCAGATTCACAGTCCAAGCAGCAGAAAGCAGCTAAGTGCAGCTTCACCAGGTCAAAAACAACACATCAGCAACTTAGTGCTAGCTAAGCAATAGGACAGGCCTTCTCAAGGATTGCAAGAATAACAAAGATTGGTAACAACTAGCACAACAAAATCTGTGCAAGTCTGTTCCCTCTGGATTGGTAAGGCACCAGAAATGACTCCTCAAAGCAGCAAATAACCAACACGGGTTCTACAAAAAGGTCTGTGTGCCCTCTGCTGGCATCTGCAGCACAGTTCTCACCACTGTATTCATCAGAGTATTTCTGTTAAGGATGAAAACTTACAGCGACAGCTATAAAAACACAGACATGTTTCTAGGTAGCCTCTCTTTTGCTTAGTGTATTTCTTACAGCACTTATGAGTATTTAGCTACTTCCGAGGTCCAATAATCCTCTTACATCCTGACAGATTAAGCCTTTTCATCATCTCCCACTGAATGCATTATTGATTAGGCCAAACCATGGCAGACAGACCTAGAAATGACATTAATCTACAGACACAGAATGTTTCAACAGCAGCTCTTTGCTAGTAGGACAAAATAAAACTGGAGAGTAAGGAGAAAGTTCAGACTGTGTAATGTACAGTGTGGAATGGACTATGCTACATAATAGTATACACAATAATTTGTTGCAGAGCATTGCTTCCTTTCTGCTTTTTTAAATATGAAAATACAGACAATTCCATCAGCAGACAGCAACTTACAGAGGTTCTTCCTCAAGTAAAGCTTTTACCTGGTCTTCACTTGTTAAACCAAGGTGCATCACAAAATAAAAATGAAGCAGGAAATCTGAATTCGGCAGAACATCTTGACGTCTCGTCATCATAGCACAGATCAGCCTGTATGCCTGAAGTTTGCCTTCCTTATATTCATTTGGCAGGGTGGTTGCCTGAAAAAAGACATGTATTAATATTTTCTTTTCTACTAGTCCACTAATGCAAAACTGTATTTTCAGCAGATTTTCCATAAACCAAATCTACTGTACTTCTTAAAATAGACGTGAGTTCAAATATTTGTCTCAGCCTGCAGTGATTGCAAAACTTAATAGTGCAAGTGAGCATCCACACATTTATTATCAACAAAGAAAAAATAACTAATGTGAGAAAGTTGAGAAATAACTTACCTTGAACAACCATGATGCAAATATTCTGAGAGGAGGAATTAAGACAGGAGGAGAAGGAGTAGACTGATTGTCCACGCTTATAGCAAGGTTATCCCTTATCTGGTGTTTTTAAAAGAAGAGAGTTATTTAAAAAAAAAATAGTTCACTTTATTAATGTTATTTCACATTATTACTTCTCTGCTTGGTTTTTTTTGTTTGTTTGTTTATTTGTTTTACTTTAAGGCACTACACCCTGCACTACACAGAGAGCTCCTACTCAAGCCAACACTACCAGGAAAAGGTGTTCTACAGTGCTATACAGTTCAAGCATTTTAGGTTGTACCATTAGCTTTTGCACTAAGAACAGTGTTTGTAGCATTCTATCCTATACCTCTGTTTTCTTTGCTACTGTTTTATGAAGCCACCTAAATTAATTAAATTCTTCTTATTAAATGGGAATATTTTCAACAGGGGATAGTTACAGGAAATCAAACAAAAATTTGACAAAATTTATGACAGAATCCTTCAAATATCATGCTTATATTGCAGATGCTAATCCTAGATCAAATCTAAGCAGAATTTTAAAAAAATTAATCATCATCATTAGATGAAAATATTATATACAATACCTTTGCAAGTTTATACCACAGCTCATAGAGATACCCAAAAACTTTTGCATGAATTTTAGGCGATTGTATATTGTTCACATCTCCAAGAATTCCCAAGATCCTCCTCCATAACACTGAAGCAGAATCAGGATGCCAACCGATGAGGCTTCCACCAGCAATTATACTGCAGTCATCAGCAAGGAACTCACTGCTGTCTGTAAATTTTAAAAGGTTCTGTTTCACTTCTGATGAAGTTTCAGTTCTGATGCACATTATTTCTAAAGAAACTCTTTTAAGGAAGGTTTTTATTGTGAAGTCTGGAAAGTTTACTAAGCAAAAAAGACAGGAGCTATGTTAATTATTCATAAATGGACACTTCTTTGGTCTTCCTGGTCTAGCACACACACAAACCAGAAAAGAAAAAAATCCACACCAAACAAAATAGTGAAGGCATACTCCCAGACCCACAAGTCCTAAGTACAGGGAGCCTGTCTTGCTGATGATGGACCTGCATAGATGTGGCCTCCAAGTACCACACACTGGGGAAGAACACAGTGACGTCCTTCCCAGACTAAACCAATAAGGCTGTTAAGACCAATTACTTTTATACAAACGATCCATCTAAAAAGCACTCTCTTCACCAAATCATCTCCTCCTTCTGCACTGCTCGAGGGAACACACGGCTCAAAGAAAAAAATGGCAAGAAAACACAGGCTAAAGGGCTTATCATATAGAGATGGCACAACTATGTGTCAGTTTGGTATGACAGACTGCCTTCACTCAAGGTTTTATAGCAGGGAAACAAATGCAGTTAAATGTACGTTGTGCATGTCTGAAACTCGTGTACTCCAAAAGATGTATTCAATCAATAACTGGCTTTTACAGGTAATATTTTCATTGCTAAGAGTCTTGCCTTTTTTTTTTTTTTTTTTTTTTTAAAGATCACATAGTATAAAATGACCTGAAAATACAACTGAACAATGGAGCTAAATATGATGCACTCTGAGAGATGAAGAATATGCTCTGCCACTATCATTATACACAGAAGCAATTCCTGAGGTAGCTGGATACAAACTGAGAAGGAATGCAGGCATTTCCTATTTCCTACTGTGATAGGTGGATGGTTGGACTGGATGATCTTGTAGGTCTTTTCCAACTTGGTGATTCTGTGACTCTGTCATTCTGAAGTTGGGCATGATAATGGAATTAATATACCTAAATAGTAAATGAAATATTCCACACTGAAGCACAAATGTTAATGACAAAAGCTGTTCAATTATCTTCAGAGCAGAGAAAGCTATGCAGCAGCCTGTCTGCAGGCAGAATCAGAGCTATGGTCCCACAGGGCGCCTTTGAGTGCTCAGCATCCAGTGTGTTTTGTTTGTTTTTTTTTTAACTTTGTGATTTTATTTCCCTTTTGCTTCCTTTGTATTGTTTCTGGCAGCATTATGAATTTCTGAAGAGTTAAAATGTTGTTTTTTAAGCATATCAGAAAGATTCTCAATGGGGAAATTCATGTATCTATGCTGTCTGGGTGATGACAACCCAGTACTTTTAGCCCTGCACCATTCAAGGTTCCAAAGCAAAACGAAGTTTTATTTTAGAAAGCCTCCAAATCCTAAGATCAAACACATCTTTGTTTTGTTCAAGAAGAAAATTAACCTAAAACACCCAAATTAATGCAAGTAACCAAATGACACATCAAAGCCCTAGAGGTTTGGCTTGTGACGTATTTTTACTACTACAGCTGACAAGTGCTTCCACCAGCCATGGGCTCCAACACACTTTCTGCAGTTCTCCATGTAACAACCGTGCAACAAACAGAAGCAGCTCTGACAGGTATGCCACTGGGAACAGGGCAAAGATGTTCTCTTACCGAGCAGATGGATGGGGCTGTATTCACCACAGTGATTACTGAGGTTTTGTAACATGACAAACAGAAGAAAGCTCTGAGCTGCACTCTGGCCTGTATGCAGGTCACACAGCAGTGAGTGGACAATTGGACAAACAACTTTGGCAAGAACCAGTAAATGCATTAGGAACATGCCAATTCTATTAGGCAGCCATATGAGGACTGCTTTGAAAGTAATGCCTCTTATTTTATTATGCTGACCCAGGACATCAGAGGTGGATGCTGGTTGTCTTTTCTGTGGAAATATGCAGGAGGCATTATTTCTGGAGTAACTTACACACATTCATTACTCCACTTCTCTTTTTAATCTCTGAAGTTATTTTATATAACTCATTCTGTTTGTACACACATAGGATCAACTTCTTGTATCACAGGCAAAGAAAGTGCTGAGTTTATCACGCATAATAATCCTTGCTGGGTACAGCTCTACACACTGCCTTGTGTACAATGGCAATCTGAAGGATGGAACTGGGTGTGCTGGATCTTTAAATCAGCAGTAATTCAAAGAAAAAGCGATCACAGAAATATACCCTTGAAACTATACAGCTCATCAGTAAAAAGGCTGCAAATAGTTTCATGCGTTACAGTATCAAGTTATTGATATAACACCCACCCTAACTTGCTTATTACATATTAGATGGGAAGATATCTTGAAGAGAACCAAAATATTTCAGTAAATAACTGCAATTCTTGTAGATGTCAAAGATATTAGAATTAAAATGAAAAAGGAAAAGACTTTTACTTGCAAATAAACTCTTCTGAGAACAACACTTCATGACTTCCTACTGGCATACAGGCAATGCTGAAGTACAAATAAGGAGGAATAAGGAGGGTAACAGTTTAAGATACTGTGAATTAACCAGTTACTTGCTATCAGTCAAAATAAACAGTAAGGAACCTACTGCACATTCTCAGAATATCCTGCTACAAAAAAAAATCTAGAAAACAGAATTTAACAGAAATTAAATTCAATCCTTTCACTTGAATGCTAGTGCAAGCTAAGAGAGCACAAGTGATCAACTATCATATAGCTGATTACTTTGACACAGTAAGAAACTCGTTTTTAAGTATATGATCACTTCCTGGATTACAGTTTATTTTCATCTATGTCAGGTTCATTCTCATTATCTTAATTCTTTAAGCTCTGTCCATTTAAATCTCGTTTTTGACAGAACATTCTGAACAAAGCTTGGCAACATGCCTAAAAACGTGTTTGTTTTTTTTTTAACACGCAAACTGAACTCCTTTTTGAAATAAAAATCTAAAATATAATTTCTGGACTAGAATACCTGTTAAATTTGCATTATCTGAAGGACTAAGCTGAAGCCAGCGAGGTGCATCAGGATCCACACAGACATCTGTTGATGCATTAACTTCCTGATCTTCTTCAGAGGCTTGCCAGGGGATGAGAGCAATCTCTACTTCATTATTATACCCAATGGATGTGTCACTGCTAACACTTTCACCTAAAGCAAGCAGAGGATGAATAAAGATCATGGATCCTATTTTTAAAGATTGCATTAGCGTAACATGACCTAACAAGACAAACTGATCACACTGGTTTCAACTGCTACACTTAAAAAAAAAAAATTACCATGTTGGAACTCACTTTTTTCTCTCTCCCTATGGTTTCCATGTGTTTGCTGTAAGTCAGCTTTCAAATCCAATTCAGCTGTACTACTGCTCCTTCGTACTGGTACCTACAGAGGAAAAAAAAAAAAAAAAGCATCAATCTCAGTTTATTAACTATATCTTTGAGAACATCATATTCTTGCAGTTTCAAGATACACAAATGCACACAGGGAAAGTTACTATAAATTAACTGCAACTCAGTTCAAGATATTTAAATGAACGTATGACAATGGAATAGGGAGCCAGGTTAATTTTTAATTCCCCACAACTACAAAGCCTGCATCTCTCTCCCTCCCACCTTCACCACACCTTGTTATTCTTGAAGTGATTAATGAGAGCACTTCTCAGAAAGAGCCTTGTCTCTAGAACAAAGCATAGCAGTACTGCAAGACCAGAGATATGGCAGAACCAACAACCAGAGATGAGATACCTCTTGCAGTCTTCCATGGAGCATTGCATTATACTTCCATAAAGATGAAGTCATATATTATTTCTATTGCTTTTTCCAAAACTGCATTAAAAATTTACAAAGCTTGCCTGTCCAAATGTTAACTTAGGCAAACAATCCACAATAAATAGCTGGTGCTACAAATTTTGCTGAAGGGAAGTATTTTCCCCAGCACTTCAAACCATCAAACATTTACTCCAGTGTAGTGTAGCTCTAAAAAAAACATTAATTATTTAAAAAGAAAAAAAAAAGTGATGGACTTGTTTATTATTAATACAGAAAAACACAGAAGTCTTTTATGAGAATAGTACATGGCAAATCATGTCAAAGTGCACTGGCAACTTACAGTATCAGAAGTTACAGACTGATCATAGCAAACAGCATAAGGGACAACTAAAGCTTAATTCCTGATTCCACACTAGAAATGTGACTAACAAATATTCATTCTTTCAGTTGATAGTTTTTAAATAGGAAAAGCCATCTGATACACAATAAAATATTTTATTTATTAACGGAGCATTTATTTTACATAAAACAAGATCTCGTCAATAATCACTATCTATTTTGTCTTACATGCTCAGCTTCATGTTCCTTCTTCATACACTCCTTATTTTCCTGAATTGATTTGGAGTCTAAAGTGGTCAAATTATGAGAACTCCCAGCCTTTTTGCCTACAAATTTTAGAAGGGAAACAGTATTAAAATGTGGGGGGAAAAATTACATAGCAAATTACAAGCAAGTATCAGTTACATTTACATATACATTTCTTATATTTACAGCAGAGCAAGGTAACAAATTGTAAAATTTTCACAGATTAATTATTAAAATAGAACACATGATGCTCTGACAAATCTTTCGTAAGCATAACATAGTTGCACAATCAAAACAGAAGTAGAACTGTTCATCTGAAAACATGAACTATAAGCACGCACCTGATAAATTTAAACAGTGACAGTGCAAATGCACACATTTAATAAAGCCCTTGTTTATTAAAAGTTGTGTTCTCCATTTTTGGTCTAGAACTTCTTAAAAATATCTTTTTCAATAAGTTACTAAAAACAGATTTGCTAGGAAAATGGGATACAAAACATTTTACAACTGTGGCTGAAAACCAAAGAAGGTAGCAGTGGCATCAGTGAGGCTCAAGAAGTCTTGGCACTTCTTCATGTGTGTAGTGTTACTATGCTTCATCACAATTACCTTGAAAAAAATCAGATGGAAATTGATCTGCAATATCTGAAGTGCTGCTACTTCGAGTGAGCTGCTGCTCTTGGTCTACAAATAGTCCTGTAGCTTCTGCTCCTGCCAAAGTTTCCGACTGCTGAGATTCTTCAACTTCTGTTGATTTAATTAAAAAAATATATTTGTATGACCTCTGAATTAAACACATATTCTAACTCCTCAGTCATGAAAGCTAAGTGAAAAAGTGAGCCATTCAAGTACTTCAAAGTCCAAATTACAAAAACTAGAATTTAACCCCTAGTCAGAGAAGTTAAAAGTATCCTTAGAAAAGCAAAGTTTAGAGAGAGATGTATTAACGGTTTAAATCATGAAAGACCTAGAAAAAAATGGAGAAATTACTTTGGGGTTTCAATGTGGCACTCTTACTTGGGATCAGGAGAACTCTCCCCTTTGGTATCGACCCTTTCAGTCACAGCTGGGTGGGTTAATGCCACCCACCCTAACTGTTGACTTTTCTGTTGGAAAGCAGTCAGAAAGTTGGCTCACAAGTCCCCCATCGAACCGACCCAGGAGAACCACCACCAGACTGCTCAGGGCAGTCAATCCACACATCCAATGCTATTTTCCTTCTCAAAATATTAGAAGAAATGGTTCAGTACCAACATGGTGACTTGGAGAAGCACTGGATTTCTGTTTTTTAAATAAGGATCATGGGCTGAATTATCGAATCCTCCACATTTCTTTCTGCATATTATTACACAATAAACAAACTAAAATGACCTGCCCACCAGCTTTCTATATTCTGTTCCTCTCCTTTCCTTTGCTCTGCCTCCTACCTCCTTGTTGGTCTGTATGCACTGACTTCGAGGCTATCCTTATGCAGAAAGGAGCAAGAAGCAAAGCCCCCCAGGGTACAAGATTGCACACCTACCTGCACTGACTGCAGCAGCAGCATGCAGGAGGAGGACAGCATGTTTCCTTTATTGAATCTACACTAAATGAGCTTAGATACTACCCATATTACAATATACATCATTTCTATTTCTTCTCACAAACCCATGCAAAACCCAAATGTTCTGGTGTTTATTGACCCTAAAGTATCACTGCCAGTATCAAAGCTTTACTGAAAGCAACAAATACACGAAAGCCCATCTTTCAGGTCAATGCCCATATCAACTAGCTTGAACAATTTCAACATTATGACCAAAAACAACAACATGGGATGAAAAACACTCAAGATATTTCATGGAATAGGAATCCCCAGAGAGCCATAATTTGCACCACGTGCAAAACTTCTCTAGTTTTGGTTTCTGCATTCCTAACTCTTTGTACATTAGGTATCCATTGCATGGGAACTTTCAGTAAATGAAGTACTTGAAAATGAAAACATGGAGAAAATCATTTATTCAGTAATTCTAGGAATTTTTACTTTTACTATTAGGAAATATAAACCCAGTAAAATTGTAATTCTTGTTAATCTTTTAATATTTAAATGAACAAAACCAGCATTGCTTGCAGTACTTTTGAGAGAAATCAGATACTACATGAAAGCTAAGAGGCACAGACAAACCTTTCATATTTGCTTCTAGAATCAATACTTACAGGAAAAATTCTTTAAGAAAAAAAGATCCACATTTGTAAGCACGGATTTGTAACTGAGTGTGACATGGAGTGAATGAGTTTTTTCTTTTAAAATCAAGTACCAGCAGCTCAAACAGCCGCACTTCTTTTTTGGCACATCTTGCTTGTGATACCTCACACATTCGTGTACACAACTAGTTTCTACTGCAGCTCCTTGAGAAGACCTTCCTGTCCTCTTTTCATCTGAAAAGGTTGCTTACATTGATAATGAATACAGTTCCAGTGACAGAACAACAAAAACCACTAAAAGTGACCATGTTTTCTTTTAACCCTTTCCTGCTTTGAAAAAGAACAAGGTACATTTCCACTGAATTTGCTCAACTCCTACTGGCAACCACCATCACTCAACACTGTGCTTGGAACAGATACAGGAAAGAGAAATAGAACCAGTGCAAAACATCTCATTCCACGCTCCTTAAGAATAATTAACTGGACAGAAAGAGAGCAGACAGAAAAGCTTAAAAATATAAAGAACATTTATATAAAAGATGACTTTAAAGTACAGTACCTGACAGTCTGTGAGAGCAAGAAGTGTAAGAGATACCAGGTAAGAGAGAGCTCACAGTGTGAAGCAGAAGAGGTACACTTTTAGTAGCTGGCAAAGCCTCATAAAGATGAACACAGTTGCTGATAGACTGGCTTCGCTTAGCTTCCAGGAGAAAATAAAGCAACAATTATGTCAGAAAACAGCAAAATATTTGGATTTGGAATGTCATGATCAAACGAAAAACAAAGCTTTTGAAAGAATCTTACAATGTCAAGCTCTGCAATATTTCCTGCTATCCCTAAGTTAATAACATACAATGTATCTCAGCCACTGAAAATACAACGTGGAATCTTTCATTTTGTCAGCCACTGATTACTACGCACCAGCTTATTTGACTTACCCTTTTTTCTTCTCATTGCAGTACCATTAGCAGTACATGCAGCTCAAAACAAAAACTGGAAAACTTATTCAGCTTACTTTCTGCTAGCAATGCTCTCTCCTGCCCCAAAAACTAGCTACCTCTTCCATTCACTCATCTTGGCTGAAAACAATGCATTCTGATCTGAGAAGTGGGACAGTATCTAAAGATACAGCTACCACTGTTAGGCTGTTGTTTTTTTTCAACTAGGGATCCTTGCTCCAGCCTTGATGAAGTGCTGAGTGCACTTGTCTGACAATACTGCTGACCCTGCTTTGAGCAGGTGCTTCATGACCTGAAGTAGCTTACATCCTGAATTATTCTGTAGATGCTGGTTTTGGCATACTTGCTTTCTCCACTTATGAACAGGATGATGAAACATGCAAGTTATGAGATGGGGCTTGGATTCTTCAGTCAATATTGAAGCTAGGAGCACTCAAAATACTGCTGGACCTCTGCACTTTTGCAAAAGGAGAAAATAATCTCAAAGATAGTAAAGTGTTAAACGTTGTATCCAGTATTACTTTGCTGGCAGCTTCTCTCATCATCTGTAAGAGAGATGAGCAGTGTCCCTTTTGTAACCTGTACATTAAATACGCTCTCAGGCCACAAAAAAAAAACACCTTTCCAAGGTAGCTAATGCTTTAGAGGATTTCTATCATCATTAAGACAAGTTATTAAAATATATTAATGCTTAACATCCAGTTGTCATAAGCTTGAAGTCTCCTTTAGAAAAATGCATCAATTTTTCACCAACTGTACCAGAAATGAATCAGGCATTTGCTGTGCTGTTTCCCTTTTTGTTCACAACAACACCAATGCTGATACTTAGAGAGAAAAAAAGGAAAAAGGAAAAAATATTCAAGCAGGATGGTGGGCTGCTGCATTAATACCCTGCTGTTAACTGTTTAACTCCCAGTACAAGCAGAAGATCAAAATAAAGTCTTACTTGGAAGCAAGAGGCATTCTTGTGTTTGTTATGTTGATGTAGGTGTGTGGGGTCTTTTTCCTGTTGTTTTTCACTGAGGGAGGGGAAAAAAATAGAAGCCCCATGGCAGGAGATGCTTTCCCCAAACCTCCATTCTGCTACATACAGTTCTTCCCTGGCTATTTCTCTAATTCCTTTAAGGATGCTACAATTCTTTCTGAAAGTTAATGTCTGGAATTTTAGTAGCTGAGTTTCGTTCTCCTAGAAAGTCCTACTCTTAGGAAACAGATAGACATCAGACTATTTAAAATCATTATTTGCTATATCTGCATGTGCAAATATAAGGGGTTTTTATATCTGCTGATTTGGGAGTCACTGATGACCAGAAATCCTATGAAAGCCAGAATAATTCTAGTTTTATCTGACACAAAATGAAACCAGAGTATTATTACACATGAAGTTCATCCTCTAGTCTGACAACCAACCTACTGCCCACCAAATAAACTTCTCTGTAGCCAGAAAAGACATACTGGCTCACCTTCGTATTTTGCTGGTAAGAAACACAACTGATCTATTATGAATGAGGAAAAACTCTGTATAGGAAAACATCTTCTATTAAAAAAACAGAGAAGACTTTCAGTGGAGAGTTTTAATCCATAGCCCACTGAGTTAGAATACAGAGACTCACTACTATAAAACAGAGACCAAATTCAGGCCTCTGATATACTTAAAAAATTAGGTATCTCTTTCAACACCTGGAGTTTCTGACATTCCCTCATCACTCCTAAACCCCATTCTCCCTTCTGTCTCCCACTACACTTCTTCTATCCAGAATTAAACATGAGAGGAAAAAAAGGAAAATGAGATGCAATATATTGTTACATCATTAAGAAGAAGGTAAATAAATAAGAAAGGATGCTTTTTAAATACCTGCTTTATCTTGTGATTACAGTAAAAAGCAAGCAGCAATGAAGTTTAGAAACTAAATATGACTGATACACCATAATGCATTTAAGAGCATGCACAAAGTATTTTCCAAAATACTTTGATCTTTTATTCATACTTGTAGCCCCGCAGACATCCAGACTCAGGTAAGCATCTATGTTTAGTTTAGTTGCATTATTTTTGGAAGTCAGAACTCAAAGGCAGATATAAAACTTGAGTGTTACTGGATGTTTGGGATTAAGATATCTAGTAAAGATCTAACCTGTTGCTCTCTGACGAACAATATTTCTTGCTTTCTCAACTCCAGGAGCTCCAGAGGTGGTGGCACTTCTGAATCTCATGGGCTCCACAACTTCAGGATGACTCTTCCAGCTTAATGAAAAAGATCTTCCCACTACAGCTGTCTTTTGAGGCTCTAAAACAGCACCTAAGAAAAAACAAAAGTATTCTAGCATTTAGTATTGTATTTAACTTTGTCATTTATTCTTCTAAGATTTGAATGAACTTACAGGCACTCCAACATGGAAAAAAAATTCATCTTCAAATCACTGATGTAATAATTGCTTTATAATCATAGTAAAAATTCAACTATGTGCATCAATTGCAAAGCAGCATATGAATGCAGCTGAAACACTGTGATATTTATGAATATGTAATTCATAAAGTTTAATAAAATTACATGGAAAAGAATTTTGACATTGATGACTATGCCAGAATATAGCACAAGAAATCACGATTTGTTCCTGCTGCACAGAAAAAAATCATTTTGAGCACATATTAACATGGTAGCTGCTAACCAGCTACCATCTATTGACCCCAATTACCCTTCCTAGCACAACGAACATAAAAATCCAAAGCCCTTCATATTTGATTAATCAGGTTCTTACATAAGATTAAGAGGTATTTAATGTTAGATCTTTTAAAGTTTAAACTTGAATATTTAACTTGTTTGATACAAAAAGCACTGAAGCATGGGGACTAACCCTTTCCTCTCTGCTTTTTTTCTTTCTGTTCACTGAGCTTATCCAAGGGTAAGTTAGTCATTTCCACCCCATACACAGTTCTTGCTAGCACTGCTGTCAGAGAGTCCATGATGTTGGCCCACTCATTTATGAGCTCCTCCCAGTCAGTCAGGGAAGACAGAACGCTAAGCAGCTCATCCCACAGCTCCCGAGAAATGTAGACACTCAGGTTTGCTCTGATCCAAGCCACAATGAGGGTCTAAGAGGAAATAAACAAGTGACAAGTCACACATCTTTGCTGAAATTAACACAACACCATCTTGCATATTAGTGTTGATTATCAGTGACACACAGATACATAGTTACTATTCATCAGAAAACATTCCCAGAAACTGGTGGACAGATATTTGTAAAAGTTACTGACCAAGGAAATTTAAAAATTCTGAAACAGATGCTTCAGATGGTCTGTATTTCTCCTGGTAAGCTAATATATTGTTCATACAGCAGTAATAATAGATTAGAATACAGAACTGATCATCACAATGCCTTTCAATTGATTATATAGCTTGAGTTATGCCTGTAACATTCAGGTCTGAACACATCATGTACAAACAGATGCACACAGATTTTCATCTTCTTAAGTGTGACTTAGTTTTGACTTGCCAGATGAACTTACTTCTACAAAAAATTGCATACAGTTTACAGTGTAGAGCTATTCACTGAAGATATCCCACAATTAGACTATCTGCCTGTGCTCTAGCACAGTTTGCAACACAGCCCTGAAAAACAGATCAAATCAACTGCTTCTGACACCTGGAATTTGTCTTCATAAAACAATTAATTGTATTACTGCAAAGGAGAACTTCTTACAAATACGTTGCATAGTACTGTGCAATAGTACTTAAGCAAAACTATGAGCATGGAAAACTGGTGCCAAACACAGAGAAAATACTCACTCGGAAAAGTAATCCTGACATGCTCTGAGCAAATGTATCCTTTATTTGGTTTTCTTTTGGCTTCTGCATCACTGCTTCTGTTATTCTGAGGAGTATCTGTAACATCTGCTCCCTGGTTCCAAAATAAAATTGTACTTTTTGTTCACAGTTTCTATTAACCATTCATGCTAATTTTCATGCAACAAAAAAACCTGTTAATTCTCAGTAAACTTTGAACATTGAGAATGTGATCACACAGAGATTTCAACAGAACTTTTGCAAAATAACACCAGTTGACTGTGGGCTGTAAAACTTAATTTTTGAGAAGAAAAATTCAAGAATGGAAATAATGAGCAGAACTTTGAAATCAAAAAGCACTTTGATGAAGACACAGCAGAACCTATAACCTCATAAATCAACTGAGATGCGAGTTGTAAGTGTGGCATACGTAACAAGGACCATCCCTTGTCAAATTACTTGAGAGAGTAAGTGCTCTCTCTCGCTCTCTCCTTCCTAATAATTCTCCTGTAACAGCTAAATATGAATATTCTTCACTTAGATATAGAATATATTAAACTTACCATGTCTTTTTATTCATTGATAGTTCCATTATCATGCGCCTAAAAATACTGAGAACTGCCTTACAAGCATCAACTTGCTCCTTCAGAAGCACAGGGACTTCAATGCATGGTTCCAATAAAAAAACATTTGCAGAGTTTGTCAAGAACACCTGAAAGACACAGGTATTTACAGTCAGTTTACGCAGTGCCAGAAAAAAAAAAGTCAAGACTTAGAATAATGGAATACTTGTCCTCTCTTAGTTAAATCATTCATTTTCCTTAGAGCAAGCTTCACATTTCATCTAGCACTTTATTGTTCTAAATCATTCTAAATCAAAGTCAGATGACATTACATGATAACAAGGGCATATATCACATAGTCCACTGTCTTGCAGGTACCTCTTCTATTTGGTCAGGCAGGAGTGCCTTTCCTCCAGCTGCTCATTTCCCAACATTATATGCTTAAGCAAACACCACCATTTCCAATTAATGAGGTACAGTAAAAGCATATGTACAGTTCTAACTCACTGTAACAACTGTGGGAAAAAAAATAGGTACCTCATACCTTTAAATAGTTATCCAGGTCTGAGACATGAGCACATGGCTTAACATACATTTTTATAGTTATAAATGAAGTTCAAATCATATCTGATGAAAACCATCAACTCCCCTTAGTTTCTTTCCTTAATTTCAGAGTTTTAATTTCAGAAAGGGCTTTATCTAAGTTCTTAAACCAAAACAGGAAATTATAGTTTATGTAAGCCAGAAGAGTATTATTTTCAGTAATGCTAGCCTAGAACCCTCCCAAAATTTTCTCATCTGGAAATCAACATAAAATTTAATATGGCTATATTAATGTGTACTATAATGTGTAGTATAAGTTACACGACTCTTACAGCCTTGTAACCTTTCAATACAGCACACCTGTAATGCAGCTTGAGCACCAGCTTTAACATTTTTGTCCTCATCTTCTAATACACATCCTCTGTTAACAGCACTGGTAAAGGAGTACGTTCTTCCCCAGCTGGATGAGCGCTTATGTCCTGAGTGGTCAGAGGAAAGCTTTCAAAAACATCACTGAGTTAGTGACCAGGGAGAAAGGAAAATGTCCATATTTATTCAAAATCAATTAAAATGGCAAAAGCAAGAAGAGGGAACTACTGTGCCCTATGTCCATTTTGACAAGGAAATCATGTCTATCATTGATATCTCAGAGCAAACAGTACGTGGAATTTAAAGGCTCATAAAACTTAAAAGAACGATGGTATTTTGAAATATTCTATCTTACATTTTGTAGTCACTGATTGTAGTACATTTGAATTCATGCCTGGAATAACTGCAGATTCTGATTTTACAACTCAACCATCCTTCTCAGTATAATAACATTTCTATTTAAGTAGCTTTGAATGTGAACATTTAAGTCAATATTTACTACAGTGAACATGAAAAAAAGATGTGACGTCACAGAATTTTTACTTACAATTTAAGTTCCTAGAGTTACAGATCCAAAGTTTGGACAGAGTATATGCAAATTAGTAGATATTTCAAGTTCTTAAGCAATTACCACCACTTCCATTAAGTTCTTGCTATCATATCACTACAGACAAAGAATAGTGAAGAAAGCTGCATTTTTCAAAGAGCTGCAATCTTTCTTTGCACTCAGTAAGGCCTACCAAACACTCAGTAATGATTTATATTTCTGGCCCTTATATATAGCACTTTTAAATCCTGATTTCCCATATAATTTAAATTTTTACTCACTCTCAAAGCAGGTTTAAGAGATAAATAACATATTGCAGGGAGACAGAATAATGTAAATAACACTGATAGCATACATGTTTACCATCCGTTTGCGCTGATGAATCCTCTAAGCTGATAGCAGCATCCTCACTGTTTTCCTTTTTGTCTGGCTCCTCCATGAACACAGGTTTCTCCTGCAGTATCCACTTTCGGTACACCTTAACCACTTTTCGTGTTGCAGATATATCAGAGGAAGGCAACAAAAATGCCTAAATTTAAAGTTAACTGATTTTACTGGATATATGGGGCATAGAAATTCATGCATATATAAACATACACATGCATCATAACCAGCCATAAATAGCACAGATCAAAAATAAAGTAAGGAAACATATGTTTTACATCTGTACAAGAAGTTAAACAACAATATATCCATAGATCTACTCCTGTGTGGGATCTCTCAATTCTGTAATTATTAAATCCAAATGATTTCCACGTTGCATTTGTTCAGACAACCACAAAGAGGTGCTTCTGCTCATTGTAAGCTCTCTAAATTAAGGTGAATTCATCACACAGTCATTATTAGGCACAGAGGTCTGGCAGACTTAAATTTGGGTTCTACCCTACTCTTGTAGAAGCTGACTTCAAATTACATCACTAGCATAGGATATGAAATGCCATTTTAGCAAGTGTGGGTAAAGGCAAGACATTAAACTGTGATGAGAATAGCAGTGACTGGCAATCAATTCTTCCTGACAACATTTTCAAAAATCAACATAATGAATTTATTTTCAACGTGCTACCCCAGGTCAGTATTTCTAACATTCTGGAAAGATGTTCATTGTGAGAACCTTCAAAGGCAAAACTGCCTGTTTCCCCACATTTCTGGAGATCTTGGGCATCTAAAAAAAATACAGTGATGTGTGTTAGACTCTTGCGGTATTATAAATCCTGGGAAACTGCATGCTCACTAAAATGTAGGTGATGTCTACCATATTCTTAATGGTTAAGTACTACCCCTTGCAGTGGTATGAAGTTAGTTTTATTACAGAACATTTTATAGACTTCTGAAAATGAAATCTAACTACAAACTAGTATCAACTGTTGGAAAATCTTTGGACAACAGTGAAATGGCACAGAAACCAAGGTAGAGAAATTTTATCTGGTATCAAAATATCCACCTTGTTTTCCCAAGAAAGAAAAAGTTCCTGCTTTGGTATCGCGTGCATTGTATTACAAATTCACTGAGAAAGACTAAAATACATTCTGCAAATTAAAAAAATCTGTTCTGCCTATGAAGAGATTACTCACTCTTCACAATTAACAGCAACAGAAGCTGTAGAAATGCATTTCAGAACAAACATTCATAGCATATCTTCCTATAGTCAGTTTAGCTGCAAAAACATTACAGGGGTATCTTGTTCAGATTGGGGGAAATCTATGCACCATATAGTATGCTCCCTTTTGTCCAGCCAGCATGAAGCACAATATCCAACAGCTAGACGGAGTTTCAACTCCTAGTCTGCAGAAATTGAAGAGTTAGCATAAGCCAGATTAAATATGCCACACAACAAGCATGTTGTTCTCCAAGTTATGAGGAAACTGGAAGTCTGATGACAATTGCGAGATTATTAGTAAAGCAGTGGGATGAATGGCTACTACACAAAATGCTTTCAGGAAGGTTGAAAAGTAGGGTAGGAAGAAAAGAAAAATAAAAATACAGAGGAATTCAGAGTGACCAGTGAGATTCCTCTAAGGGACAGATAAAAACAGGCAGGATCCAAGTGCCACAATCTGCTTTAATTACTGAACACTGATCATATTTTATAAAAGTGCTGCATTCTGTCACTTTCTGTTCCCCAGAAGCCAGTATAACTTTACATACGCTCTGAAAATACACCAGCAGAGGGCAGCACACCACAGTGGTTCTCAACACACAAAATCACTCCTTCCTGTCACAATGACATCCATCTCACAAAAAGCAGTGGTATAGGGAGTTCCTTAACTGTGCCACACAGAACATTTCTCAATAAAGCATGCATGGCTACTCTGCTGCTAGAGGGTGTCTCCTATAAATTTATGTGACCTGGAACTGTTGTTTCAACCAATTTCTACCATGACAACATAGCAGAAGACGACTGGGAATTCAGAGTAAGCCCACATGCATTTTTATCTCAAACAATTGAAAAGATATCAAGATAAAGACAAACACTAGTAGAAGCAATAAATAACAACTTTGAACACACACAAGCACATTTACCTGCCGAAACACCTCATTAACAAAGTTAACATATCCTCGGGTGGACAGGAGGATCCGCTGCACCATCTCATAGACAGTCCGATGCTGCTCCTCAATGCTGCAGAGGCTTGAATTACTGAGCCTTCGGTCAGACAAAGTGCTGCTATTGGAATGGCTTCTCTCTTGCTCGCTTGCATACGACATGCTGGTTTCCAGTTCAGGGTTTTTATCTTGGTTTACAACACCAACAGTCTATACAGAAGAAAAGATACAGCTAATTGAATTACTGAAGAGCTGCATACCAAAAATCTGTGATACTTACTCAGAACTCAAGACAGCAGCATTCATTTTCAGAAAGCACACAGGCATCTCAGCTGTCAGGACGAGCAATTTTCAATCTACCTTTTGAAACAACAAGGAATTTGGTCCTATATGCTATCTGATGCATACTCCCTATGGGTCCCCTGCAGCCCAGAACAGCTGACTGACTTGTCTGCTCCCCAAGAAAGAAAGAGGAAGGGGTGTAGTGGTGGGACTGAGAGCTGGCAGGCACAAGGGAGAAGCAGCTCCAAATCCATTGGATTTTTGAGAAAGGAAGGATCACATCACTATACATGGTGCATATTCTTAGGCATTATTATTCCCGACAGCTCTTTGTCAGATACTGTTCTGGCGTGGCATTGCATTTATTTTGCAACATTTCATCCTGAACCATGTCTGGCTAAAATAATTCAGTCAAGGGAAGACAGAGGACAAAGACTTTGGAAGAAAGTGAATAAAACTGCATCTGAATTGCTGGACAAAGAATGCTACTTACACTAACTGAAAGCATTACCCAAATGCAGTTTGGCTTTACATTTACTTCAACAAGGCTGCCATCTCTTTGACAAAGAGAGCAGCAATAATGTCTCTACTGCTTCTCATAATAAACTTACTTGTAAAATTTTGCCATACTAACAAGGCACTGGCTACAGGCACTGAGGTTTCTAACAACTAGGAAGTCAATGTGTGCCAAAAGCTGACACTTGGCTTCAGCTAAATGATAACTTTTACAAGGTTCCATCCTGAAGGCAGTAATATCTTTATATAGCCTAAATATTTAATTGGTCTCAGTAGTCTATAAAATTCAGTTTTAAATGAAAAGATTTCATTTTCCAAGCAGTGCCTGTTGCAATGACACAGCACGTATTTAGGCAGAAGGTGAAAATTCCAATGAGAATGAAAAGGTTACTAAACAGCACCTTCAGTAGGTAAGCTACACTTAGCCCTTCTAAGGCTTTAAAACTCTTCAGTGAAGAACTTCAAAATTAATTAACATGAAAATATACAGTTTGACTTTCATAGCTAGTGAATGTTTTTCCACTCAAGCCAGATTTGACACTGACCTACAATTCAAGAGAAAAATCTAAAATTGACATTGATCCTAGATTTTTAATGGAAACTAGAGAGTCTCTTAAAACATTTTATTTCCACAAAATTCACGTTAAGCCCCTAATTCTACAGAAACCTCAACCAGAATTTAAAAGTGAAATATTTTTCTAGTATCTCATCATAAACAGCTGCTATAATCAAGAGGAAAACAAAACAGCCTTTGATGCTACAGGGAGATGGTCTGTGCCTCAAATAAGTTTGACAGCTTACAGATTAAATTCTAGAAGTCCAAAGATAATAGCAATGAAATAAGGCAAGTAAGGCAAACATATACAAGAAAAAAATGTAGTTAATTACTTAAGAGATTCCCTTGAAGACTCCCTCCTTCATAAAAGAAAAAATAATCAATTTACAAGTATATCAGTTAATCATTTGGGGATTGCATTTCTTTCTTGCTGCAGCTGTCAGCGTGCTGCAATCACTTGCAAGTTTCTAGCACATCCAAAGAGAAAAAAGGTAAACTTGAAAGCACACCTGGATTATTTTAGGGAGCATTTCTCCTCCATTTTTTGTATGCTGAACAGCAGTTAAGTATTTCTTTTCAAGAAAGAAAGTAACAAGCCACTTAATAAATACAACTCGAGCTGCCATATATGGAATTTTTGTGCTATAGACATTTTCATTGTTTCGTGTTGCAGTAATGTATACAGGTCTTGGTCTTGTATCAGGAATATCTGGTGAGATAAAAAGAGAAAATACAGAAAAAATCTAATCTTAAAAAATTGTACTTGCTTCCAGACTGTTTAAATGCATAGAACGTGTCACCAACAACATTTTCTCCATGTGAAATAACAGATGCAGTGACTGACCGCTTTTATTATTTAACACTTGTATTAATGACTTTACTACTTCTAAAGAAAAGCAAGAACACAAGAGCACAAATCTTTCATGAAGGCTATGTTTTGTATTAGGCAAAAGAAAGGAAAGCAAAAGAGAAGAGCTGCAAAGAGTAAGACAAGATCCAAAACAAACATGAGTCTGCAACAAAAATTAAGTTTATAAATTTCCCTGGGTCTTATTAGTAAGGTAGAATGAGAAAGAGAGGATGACTCAGGAACACTCAGTGAAAAGATTAAGGATACTTAGCATATGGGAAAGAGATGTTACTCAGGTGCAAAGAGCACTGCAGAAGCTGAAATAAAAGAGAGAACACACATGGGAAGAAAGCGGAAGAATGCCAAACAGAGATAAGTTGGGTCACAATTAACACAGATGCTTAGATTTTGGGGGAGAAAATCACTTGTACACAGCTGAAATACAGGAAAGGGTTGTGCTCCAGTTGTGAACGTGACTGAAGTGGCACTGAGGTGAATTCAGACACTAAGAGCAAATTGCAAAGACAGGAGTTAGAAGTCAGAGGAAGGAAGAGAGGAGTGACAAAGAAGAGACTGTAGTGTATCAGGTGAGTGTTAACAACCCTGCTCCTATTGACTCTAATACATAATTCAGTAGAATATTAGAAGAAAGTCTAAAGAAAATGTGAGCATTACTAAAATAATGTGCTTTTAATTCCTGAGAATTGCTTCCTATAGATGCTTCCAGCAACACAAACTAGCTTGTTTATTTCACAGCTACAACTCTGTTTTCTTTTATTTGGCTTTTGATGCTTATTTTTTTTTGTTTAAGGAAGAACAAACTTTTTTTTTTTTTTTAAACTTAGAAGACAAAACTTGCTACTTACCTAGAACAGGTTTGTAGAGGTTGGTTAGTTTTGTAAAAGATGGAAACAAGTGTGGAAGGTAGTATTTTCTGAACAAGGTAAAGAGAAACTTAAAACCAGTGTCTTGGTTCTCCTTATTCTTCCACTCCAAGCTTGCAGCCTTTGCCACAGAATTAAAAAGAAAGGAAGAAACAAAAAGCTTGAAGATCATGTTTTATACTGATAGTCATTCCCTGTTGACAACTTAATGAGAAAGATAAACAACTGCACTTTAACACGAGAGATGAAAAAACAACGGCCCCAAATTTATTTACTTTTTTAAAAAGCACAATAAGAATATGAAATACTACCTTGAATGACTTTAACATATCAGAGAAACAAAGCTCATTCGAACACAATCCTCCCAATATGAATAGTTAAAAACACATCTCCTCCGCACCTGAATTACCATATATTTTAATAGTAACTGAAGAAAATAGCAGGTTTGGTCTTCAGCAATTTTCTCTCCAGAGACAGCTGGCAAAAGTGGGGTAATTTCTTCTGGAAAAATCTTAGCTAGAATAAAGAGAAAATGCTTTAAACATAGAAAATCTGAAAATACTGAAATAAATAATATTCTCTATAAAAAAATCAATTTGCTGATAATTATTAAAGTGCTACTAAGTTGTGCAAAGCCAAAACTGTTTGGACTTCCTGTGTTTTCCCATATATCTTCACAGATATCTGAGGACAGGACCAACCTTTGCTTTAGTGCAGTCTGGAAGGATTAACACAAGCAGTTGCTGCAGGTTAACAAATAAGCTGTAAATCTACACACTAACTTATTTTGCAGTAAGGTGTTCATATAGTTTTACCTCAATATAAAAAAAATAACAACAAAATTGTTCTTAACTCAGAATGACAAAACCTGAAGGCCATAACACTGCAAAAAAATGTCAATAGCTTGACAGATGCAGGCCATCTCTGAGCTACAAACAGTATTAATCACACAGCATTGTCCCTGCAAGCAGCTTTCCAGGTTCACAGTGACTTGAGGGAAAGGGAAAAGGTGAAGCATCCAGCATAGAAATTATGTTTACTCACCATCTGGTGAATTAGGAGGACTAATGACGTTATCAAGTGTACAGGGACCTCGTGAGGACATAACGGGTGGAAATCCAGGCACAAGGCATGCAAATATTAATATCTGCTCTTCTGTACAGTTAGTTTGAAGTGCTTGAAGCCAGAGAAGAAACAGTCGGATTCCTTCACATCTTATCTACATGGAGATGATTTTGTAGAAAAAAAATATGAAAACAAATTTGAAAGTATAGTAATGTAGTTGAGTAGTTAAGAAAGTGTAAGACAAGTACACTTCCAATTCTGTGCTAGTCAGTCTTTTGGTCATAGCATAAATAATCCTACTGCTAAGTTAACCAGGGTTAACTGGTTAACTGGTACAGATGAGCTGTACCAAAACAGTGTGTATGATGGCCCCAACCTCCATTGGAGGACAAGGAGCTGACCTGCTTCTGTCCTACCAATTACAGAATGCCAGCTCCATGCACATGCAAGCTGCTGTCCTCAATGTGAGCAGGAGCAGAAGATCCCCAAGAAAACTGAGACGCAACAAAACCACCCAAGGCAGAACATTCTGTAAGTCTGCCTTCTTGCTTCTCATAAATTGTTTGATTTTAGCCATTATGTTGGAGTAAGAAAAATGGATTTAAAATTATTTGGCAAAACCAAGAAACCTATACATGTAATATAATGTACTTCAGACAGAGAGATCTGAAAAAATGAAGCATTAAGCAAATACATTGCTAGCTTCTCTAGCTAGATTTACAAAGGTCATTAGAGCAGCACAGCTGAGGAACATGAATTTTAAAATAGCCTACAGTTAAAACTTTTAATTAAAAGGTGAATGGAAAAGCCCAGTGATCTGAAAAACTGTCGATACTGAAAATCTGTAAAATAATTTGCCTCATACAAATTAAATTAAAAAGAAATAAGAATACATCATGGAAGAGAGATACCTTGAGAGAGTTTCCAGTGTGCAAAAGTTTCTTCAAAATCGACCCTGGATTAGGAAGATGAAACAGGCACGTATCAGATGTTAAGATGCTTTTTAAAAAAACACTACAGAAAAGGCTACTTTGATGCTATTCCTGTGCTGTCACTACACTGGTCTTCAAAAAAGATGAAAATTTCTGGGGGATAAAAAGCAAAATGACAGACATGATACTCATGTCTATTTAAGAAAAAAACAAACAAACAACCAAACATACTGAAGTTGCAAAATACTTTGATTCATGTTTAAAAACACCAGGTCAACTGCTTGTTCCAAATGCCTGGCTTAAAATTAGAGTGATCATACATATCAAATTCTTCAGCTAAAGGTGTTTTTAGTCAAATTCCTCACAAAATAACGGAACGTACAACTCAGTTGTTATTTCACCTGGTTTTGAGAATTACAGCCTTGCTTTGAAGTGACCCTTTGAGATTTCTCCATTTCAAAATTTTAGATGGAAGCTATTAACATATATAACACCTGCATATTAGCACACATGAACATCAAGCAAAAAACAAAGTACGAGGTGCACTTTAAATAACTGCAACCAAATCTTGAAGCTCATTTATCGAACGCAGCTATAAGTTTAGCCAAATACAGCTGTTCAAAGGGAGCAAGAACGTAAATACATTAGCTCTAAAGCAACTGCCTAAAAGCAATTTTTTTCTGGACTCATTGAGATGAAATGGAAGTAAAGTGGTCAAGCAGACATCTCCTTTTAGTCTTCTCAGTGCTAACTGGAAATGTGACAACAGCCCTTTCCTTAACCTTCACCTTCCACTCATTATTTCTTTTGCAGCAGCAAATACATTGTTGGGACAACAACATTACAGCTGATGAAATGGTGCTGGAAACCAAACCAAGCAACCAATAAAAAAGAACTATAACGAAGAAATGCATCCCTTTGCTCCCCTCCCAAAGCAGCATACACTGTCCAATTTACTTCAACAAACAGCAGAAGAAAATATTGTGACCACCTTGGAAGCATTCAGAAGTAGAATTTTCACAGTTGTTAATGAATCAAAGATGTTCAGTGGATTGCAAGTTGTTTGGACTATCAAAATAGAAGTATTTTCCCCTCACTTGACTGTAATTTATTCAGTCTGGTCAAATGAGGAAAATAAAGTTTTCTTTGTCTCCTGCACATGATTATAAGGGATGGTCAAAGGAAATATTTAAATAATTAGAAAGTTAACTTCTTTGAAAATAAAGACAGCTAAACAATTTTCTCAATAGCATTTTTAGAACCTGATTTTAAGGTATACCTGAAATCCCTATACTGCCTACTGAAAAACTCATCAGTAAAAGTTCAGTAATCCAGTATTCAAGAGTGACCCAAACCATTAGATACTTGTTATCTGAATGCTTTAAGGTAAACAACTAGCAGAAGAATATCAAGTTTGAAGCCAAGCCCTCTAAGTTGACAACTCTATTATTTTCTTTTTAGGCATAATTGCAAGGCAATATTCAGTTCTATGCTTATCAAGACTTCTGCAAAATACCTGCTTGCAAACAGACAGAATGGACAGAAAGCTAAGGAAAAAAGGCTGAGTTTTACCAGCTCCTGTCCTGTGCTCCTCCTATCCCCCCCTTGCTCCAGAAGCCAGTGTGGTATTGCAAATATCATGGAGTGCAGATAAAGAATGGAGAGCCTCTTGGTTTGACCAAACAAATGCCATCCACAGGCTCTTGTGCCTGAAATGGCCAGCGTCAATTGGCTTGGCAAATCCTCCACTGAATGAAGAATCCGTGAAAGATAGCTGGGGCCAAACTTGCAGGAGTGCTGTGCATTCAGAATTCCACATACACAGGCCAACAAGACTGTGGGCCACTCAAAGTTATTAAAAAAGTTTCAATTTTTGTCCTTTATTTCTTTGTTTCACTATTCCAACTCTGAAACAGAAATTCTCTTTTAATTCTCACGGATTGGTGGTAACCGAGTGCTTCACAAACATTAATGAATTAAAATGTGCAGAGAATAATGTCACAGACTACCACAGAAGAAATTAAATGCTTATGTGATGTAGCAACCCAATGATCCACATTTAGTGTAACTTGTGCTTAACTATTCAACAGTTGCCAATGGAAAGCAGAAATGTATCAGAATATATTTCCAAAAGGAGACCAAGTTCAACAGTATCTATACGTAGGCAAAGAACAATTTTTATTACAACAAATTTGCGTGCACATCTTGTCTGTCATCACTTGTGAAAGACTTCACAATGCACATTTGCAAGAGAGCAAACACAGATTCCACAACTCTTCTCAATATTAATTTTTGGACTTAGTCTCTGAATGCAAATGGAGACACAATTAGGAAAAGGTGTACTGGTTTAGATCCCTTGCCATTTTGAAGCTCTAAAAGCTATGAAAGAGACAAAAAGAGGACCATGGTAAATCCAAGAATACAAAAATTCCAGGAGCTTTCATGCAAAAATAAAAGTGAAGCAAGCAATCAAAACCACACAAAACAAAGAACACACAGAGCTATTTTGACAGGTAAAAAGATTTTCCAGATGTTTCAAGAATTTTCAGATGCAAATCTCACATATAAGTACCATCTGTGTGTTGGGCAAAACTATGTTATTCAGTGGTTTAAAGGACTTGTAGAACCAGGGAAGTGATTACAGAAAACACAGATTTTATTTTTACTAGAACATTTTTAAACCATTCCTTCTTACCTATACTGCGAAAATGCCATCGATAAAAAATCCTCTCAGGTAGCAGTTGCAATATTTTCTGCAGGAAAGAAAACTACAGAGTCAAATTTTCCATAATAAACTGGCTCATTCAGAGGATACAGATAAACTGATACACAAAACATAAATGAAATGGTTGTATATAGGGAGAGAAAACACAACAGCAAGCAGATAGCTATAATAATTAGAACTCTTCACCATTACTTACTCCCTTGCTACATAGGAAAATGCGTGGAATAATTCTAAATAAATGCCATAACACTGGCACAAGCCTCTTTCCCCTTCCCCCTCTCCTGGAATGCCCTAGCATTTCAGAATATAAACTGATTTCTAATGAAGACGTTACAGATAGAATTTCCTTCGAAGAGGCTCACTTTGGGTTACATTTTTCTGAAGTGTCTGGTAATAACTACTGTTAGATTGATACAGTCCAGATTTTGAGATTGGGTGGCTTAGGTCTGCCTTTTCATCAGCTAATGGGGTCTATCTCCCAGCTAAGGCAGAGATGAGCAGCAGGGCAGTTATTTTTACCGTGAGATGATGATTTACCTGTGTTTTCAGCTGCTGAGTGAAACCGAGCCAAATTACACAAAGCTAGCCTAATTTAATTCATAGCACATGCAGTTAATAAAGCACTTATGTGGAATAATACACGGCGATCTTTCTCCGACTGATGCTAACAGAGGCAGATCAAACAAAGAAAAAGGTTTGGTCAAGCCCATTTCCCCTCAGTTTTGTTACTCAACAGAGCATCCACAAAGCTAAGCAATTTAAGCATATGCCTAAGTGCCTCCCTGAATGGAGTCCTGTAATACCAGTTGCACAGAACAGTTGGGGCTACCGAACATTTTTTGTCAGCTTACTGGATGGTAATGTTATTAAATAATTTGGATAAATTCAAGCTACCCGGGGGTCTAATTTTGGTAAACATGGCTTTTAATTAGTGTTTAAATCAAGTTTCAAGACACACATATATATATATATGTGTATATGTTAGCATAATAAACTAGGACTTGGCAAGTAGGTGTAGTATTAGTAGAGGACAGCTAACTTACTGATGCTCAGCTTCCCAAAAAGGCAAGAGAACACACGTGTTTTTGTACAGATTTCAGAGAAAAAATGTCTGGAACTTACAACTTTTCAGTTACTAGGATATGAAATTTAGAAGTCATATCTAAATGGGAAAATAGTTTTGACACCTTCTTTAGGAAATAAAATAAAACTGAACAATCCCACACATGACTAGCCGTCAGGGTTTAATCATCAAACAAAACCACCAGAATAAATTTCTGCATAACGAAATGCCATCAAGTCTTCAGAAAAACCACATGCAGGATGCACAATGAATGACAAGTAATTTAAGCAGTGGTGACCCATTTGCTGGTCTTTTGCACATAAAAGCTCACAAGAAGAAATAAAGCGTCACAGCCAAGAAAGCAACAATTTGTGTTTTAGGCCATCCTTCAGAGATGGCCTACACATGAATCATTACTGCTGTTAAAAACACTGTGCTTGAGAGATGGATTATGACAGTCTTTTGTTTTTCACAACAAAGTGCTGCAGCAACTGTATACAACACTGAAAGTCACAATCTTTAGAAGATGGAGCATTCCCTTCTCCATGGCAGAAGATGGAAGTCATGACAATTCACAGACTTAGGGAACCAGACCTCGGCTCATACAGACAGACTGCTCTTCCTTTACATCCACAGCACATGTTCCCCAAATAGTATTTGGCATTTCTAAAAGTGAATAGATAAATAAATCAGGCACATCCCTCTCATGCCCTTGCCATGCTCTTTTTCAGCACTACCCCCAGAGCTCCTTCACCAGGCCACAGGGGAAAACTCTCCCAGAGAGGAGCAACCAAAGGCTCACTGAATTCCACAATACACCACAGGGAGGCCTTCACATTCATCTCAGAAACAAATAAATAAATGCACTTTATTTCTATTTTTTTTACATCAGTATAAGAAGTACAGCAATCATCACAGCAACAAAGGCCGCCCTAAGCAAGATACCTTCAGCTTGTCCTCAGATAGAAATTCTCTCTCATTTGTTTCAGAACACTGACTACTGAGAACCAACTGGATTAAATTTCTAAAGAATGAAGCATTTCTGTATAAATAAAAAAAATACACCTGCAAAATATGTCTATTTCACTGAATAAATCTGAAATACACTTGAACACCAGGCACGCCATACTCACTTGTTATTAGCAAAAATTTGGGGAAATAATGTGATGACATAGAAACTTTTTCCTTAGCTGCAAAAAGAAACAATAACCATTTCCCAATAGCTTTAACAATGTTCTTAGAGTCATTTTTTCCAGTCTGAACATCCCATACGATCGAGAATTGAACCGAAGAACCACCTCTTGTGTTGCCTGAACACAACAGCACGCTGAGGCAGGCGAGGTCTCACCTCTTCAAGCTGCAGAGCACATTAACTGTTATTTCGGAAAGTCCAGAGGCATGACAGCATGCAGTACATGAGCACCTGGTATCTTGCAAAATTTCACCCAAACCTGGAGTGAAATTCACTTCTGGAAAGTTAACTATAATAAGGTGTAAGCTGCATAAGCTGACAATGTGTCGAAGATGCGTAATTCAGACCTATTTTAAGAAAGAATAACTCTGGCATCTGAGCTGATTTTAAACCCTGTTGAAAGCAACTTTGTCACAAAAAATACTGTTGCAGAGTCTGACAACTACCAGGAAAAGCTAGATGATACTTTAAACTGCACAGTGTTGGGAGGACAGAGGAAGAAGGAAAGAACATGCCTGTGGTTTCAAAAAAAAAAAAGTAGCTATAATAAATAAATAAGAATAAAGTGCAAAATAAAAGCATCTTTGTCAGGTGACTGAATCAAAACAATTTAAAGTTTGAAAAAAATAATAAGAGGACAGAAGTTCCTGCCTGGGGAAAGCGTCAGTATCCCAACATCTCCTGACACAGCAAAAATTGGGACATTCAGTTGTTTCTCACACCTTTCTCCATTTCAGAATCTCAAAACCAGGAAAAAATGTGTGTTCACTTTGGAAAAATGCAAAGATGCATTTAATCATTTGCACAGGATGACCAAACAGTAAGGTGAAGTCATTTTAAAAATCAAATTAGGTTACTAACATCACAGTGATTTTGGAAGGTATCAGAGCTTTGCAGAAGACTGAAATGAACAGAATTCATCTAAATTCAGAGGGCACAATTGCTCCTGCAGTGCAAATATGCATTAGCATGTTTAAAGGTCTATACCACTAAATGAAAACTTCGGAATCTTACAAGCAAATTCAAAGTTAAGGCTATAACACTCTTTTGATTGGTAATTTTCACATATGTGCATTAGCCACAAGACAAGGATAGTGCTACAGCATGACATAATATTCTGTCATGCACGTGCACGGGTCGTTGTCCTTTCAACTTGCTATTTCCAAGAATATATTCTTCACTCTCCCAACCCCTGGGGTTCTCAAAAACTCATATTGCCATTTCTATAAAACAAATGATAGTTTCTTGCACTCCAGCCTAGACTTTTAGCAACACCGCTGTGAATCCAAACTGGCTATTGACATCTTGCTTGTAGTTTCTCAGTACACTAATAAGAAATACTTTAAGAAACCCCACAGTGTGAAATAATATTGCTTTTTCAGAAAACACATAGATCTATTTAATGCTTAGTGCTTTGCTGCATCTATATGGTAATCCATTATAGCACACTTGAAATAGAAATTAGGTATTACTACTGATCAACACATCAGGGTATCTGTCAGTTCTTTTAACTGATTATCCATAGTTCTTTTTCTTCCCGACTTCCTGCATGACTAGGAATAATGTTAAGTTTAAATCTTAGTTTACACAGGACGCTTGCAAGATCTCTCTCTTCATTTTAACAAAGAACAATAAGAAACACCAAGGTTTGTATTTAAACAGATTCCTCCTGACTATACTAAAACTGCAATTTCTTTTTAAAAAGGCTTTTATTTTTGCCAGCTTAGCTGAGTAATATTGTGATTGGTAGCTCTGCATCTATTGCAGTGTGCCACACTGCCCTGAAGGAGAATGCAGAGAAAGCCAAGGCTGTACCAAATCTTACGCCAAAGATCCCTATGCCCTGATGTTTTCCAGCTTCACTTGCACAGAAGTGAGATGATAAGCATTTCTGCTCTGTAAAACACTATGCAGAGCATCTTATTAACCAGCAACAAAATCAAATGTGTTCTTGCTGATTGAATGTGCTCTCAGAGGCGATGTCAATGACAAGTTCAGAATAATGTTCATTCCAGGGGAATGGATTCTGAGGGGAAAAAAAATAGCTTTCCTGATACAGCCTGTACATAATGAGGAGTTCCTATTAGTCCGCTGGCAGGTGTACCTACTTTAATCCATATCAAATGTAGAACAGCTCTCCTATGTCTTTATATTTAAGACTATTTGGTGTTATCTGTACAGTAGCTTCAGAAGGTTCAACTATTAAAATCTGCAATAATTTTGAATTTTTTCTGCTTTTATTCACTGATTTAGGTGAGGCCAAGAGCTCAATGAAGTTAGTATGCCTGCAGCAGTTCTATCTCCATAAAGGGAGACCCTATTTATTGTATCCATAAATTATTTATAGTGGGAAAATATCTGCCCAAAGCAAGCAAGACACATATTCTTCCCCAGGCATAACACTATACAAAAAGATCATCCCAAATGTACACAATCGTGTACATTTATGATTTAAAACAGAATGCTAGAAGAATAACATTAATGCTATTACAATAATAGATGAATCAATCATAATTACAGCAGAATAAACTGAAGACTGTTCAGAAAGCTATTATGTTATAAAGCTATATATGTTAGAAAGGAGCAATTTTATTGTTATAAAAAAAATAAACCCTTCTTAATCTACTGAGCTTGAGAATCAGCCAACCAAGTCGGTGACAGACAACTTTAAACAGTGAAAGTTGTCACCACAGCAAGAGAACCGAGTAAAAAGCTGGAACAGAACCTAAAACCTGGATCTAAAGCTGAAACTCTCAATGGTAAGACAATCTAC